TCTAAAGCACTGGCAGAAACAACAGCAGTCGAACAATCGGAGAGAGTCAGCAACCGGAAAGCGGAATCTCAGATTTTATGTGAGAAAATAAAGAGCAATGAGGTGGTCCCTCTCCCAACTCGCACGTCATCACGCGTAAATCTCGCAGAGAACCAAGAAACTGAAAATGAGAAACCCAGGGAACCACAGCAGGATGTCCTTTCTGAAAACAGACGAAAGCCAGGAAAGTACAACACCTCAGGTTCTGCTGAGGACCCGATAATGAATGAGCTAGAAAGTTCAACAGCCGCAGGTGAAAGTATTGCGCCTGGAGCCATGTTAGAAGAACAAGATGATCAATATGACATTTCTTCAAAGACACTTGATACTCTCTTAAAGGAATTACCTCCTTGGCGTCGAAAAAAAGGCACTGTTATCTCTCTGCCAAAGAGGTTACAACAAGCAAAGACCGTAATCGTGGGCTATGTCAACGGGAGACCCATATCAGCCTCCGACAGAAGTCTGCGACGGAGATCCAACTCCAGTAGCCCCTCACCAATGAAAGACCTGTCAGTGAAACCAAGTCAGAAAGGACTGAAACAGGCTCAGGTTGACTCAACTGCAAACAATAATTTGGCGGAAAATATCCCTGAAACCGAAATGCCCAAAGAATCCAGAACTGAGTGTCCACTGGTTTCAGCTTCTGACATACCAGAGAAGCCCAAAATTGAAATCTCACTCAAATCCAAGCCTATCCAGCAACGCAAGCTCGTTCAGCAAGACGAAGCAACCGAAACCAAACGACAGCTAAGATCGGCTGTCCAGAAAGCCGATGAAACTCACGCATTAGCACCTTCTTCAAATGGAGTCCCATCCACTTCACCTCCAAAATCGAGCGCTCCCCCTGCTCCTCCAGCACTGCCTCCATTTTCTCCTCCTTTGGCAGAGTCATTGCCGCCTGGAACACCCGAACCATCGCAAATCAGCACCGTCCAAAAGACACCGGCGGTGTTAAACATTGAACAAACTCAATCGATAGAAGAAAGCCCGGGCTTGCTGGTCCGACAAAAGTTACGATCTTCAAAGGTGGTAGCAAAGGAAAGCAAAGATGAGAACCAGCCTCTCGGTGTAGAGTCCACAAGCCCAATGAAGGATCGGGCTTCCCATAAGACCGAAACACCAACACCTGAAACAAGAGTAAAACGTGTTCTTCGAATGGAGCCTACGACCCAGAAAGCAAATGTCTCATCTCCAGATGACAATCCCGCAAGTTCACATCTTACCGGTGCTTGTAGAGCAGACAAACCCGCAAGAATGCCACTGAGGAGTGAAAGTAGCAGGGCTGAACTGTCCCCTCAAATCCCAACGGACAAAAAGCTTTCTTTACGATCACAGAGGTTGTCTCCGCCCTCCACCAGTTTAGTCTCAGCATCCGGAAAGAACTCTGAAGTGGCATCGCCGGCCAGAACGCCTCCAGAGCAAAGAAAGAAAAGTCACATGAAGGCCCCTTCGTTATCCACCGCATCATCACTCTCCCGAGTAACGGGACTCAGACACCAGCCGCGCAAACAAAGAAACAAGTTCTTCGAGGCACTGGTGGGAGAAGAAAACAAACAGCTGCTCACCAACTTGAACCTCAAATATGAGAAGATGCATAAAGGCTGGCTGCAAATGGAGCGAGATGGCCAGATTGCAGCAAAATACAAAAACCGAGCCGACAGACAGGCTGCCATTTGGAAAAGTAAACGCAGGGCCCGCAAGCCAAAGCCTTTAGAGCACCAGAGGTGCTCGCCCGTGCAATTGCTCTTCATGAAGGACTACAACCTTTCCAGTATTTGTCGCTGGTTCCTGGAGTCAACGGAAACGAAATCTCTCATCATCGTGAAGAAAGTCAACACGCGTCTTCCGTCTGAAACTCAGCTGTGCTTCCACAGCTCGTCCAGCGGTTCAGGAGCCTCTCAGGGCGTCTTTCCAAGTTTACAGGCAGAGCGCTTAAAGAAACATCTCAAAAAGTTTGCTGTCACCTCTCCCGTGAAAAGCAACCCGAAAAGTCAGAAGCTGATAGCGAAGGCCCTGGAGCAGGAGATGACCTCTGTCAAAGGCAAAGAGAGGCGAGAACCCCCCACTGCTGCTCATAGTTTCAATCAGCCACCCGTCGGTGTTGATGCTCAGGGACAAGGTGAACCCCAGAAATTTGTCGGGAAGCCCAAGAATCCGGCGAGCGCCCGGATTTTGAGAAAATACTCGAACATTAGAGGGAAGATGCAGGTCCAGCAAACCAACATACGTTTCAAAGGGGTCTCCAAAAGCTTGGTGAAAAGACTTTGTACGGAATCTGTTTCAAAGTCGGCCGTCCTTCCTCCTCTGAATACACCGAAAATAGTTGCCCTGTCTGCTGCTAAGACCATCAAAGCAACCAAAAGGATGAGAAGGAAAACACTGGCAAGAAAGAGGGTGGTGAGACATCGAGCTGCCAAAGTTCAGGACGTCAGTCGGGTAAGAAGGTGCTCGCAACGACTGAGTTCTGCGGTCGGCTTATCAAAGAGCAAAGCGGACAAAAAATCATCGCAAGATGACAAACAAGTGGAAATAGTCGCCATGAGCAAAGTGAATGCAGGCAAATCTCAAACAAATGACTCGCCGGAAAGACGAGAAATCAAAGATACCCCTGAGGCCGGCTCGCAAAGTCCGGACGTCAAGCCTCCGAGCGTTTCTGACCAGGTTCTGACAAGATCCCAGAGAAAAATGGAAGCGGCGTCAAAGAGGCCAAAGTTAGCCAAGAAACAAGCGGCTCTCAAGGCGGCCAGGAAGGTGGAGGACATGAGCAAAAAAGGTGCTGTGAAGAGAAGTCGCTCCGCCGTGTGGCCGCGTACCAGATCGCAGGAGCTCCTGGCAAACCCCGCGAAACGCTCCAGAACGTCCAGATGAAACTGACCCGTTTATCTCAAATCTTGAAAAGTCAGACCTCATCAAAGTCGGGAATGCAAACGCGCTGGTTTGCTGGGTGTCGGTTCAGCGCTTCAGGGACCGCACGCAGACCACGGCGGCTTTTTTTGGGGTGGGGGTGGGGGCATTGTGTGTTCTGAGACAAAAACCTCATTTCTTTTATTCGGGTGCTGTGGCCAGCAGGTGACACTAAACCATATCCCTCCGTTTTCTTTCCTCATCAAATAAAAACTTGACATCCTCCCACCCGCCTTCCAATCGCAGACAATGGCCATGTGACTGTCGTGACCAGGTGCCTTATTTATAAAGTGAACGAATGTTTCGAAATCGGAACTCTCCTTGTCCGTCGCTGGAAAACAAAAGCGTATGCAAATAATTTCCTCGCTGACTTGTATTTTTCTATGCCCTCTTCCGCAGCATTAACTCTATTGTCGTCGCATTAAGTTGAAGTACATCGTTTTGTTCATGGTCCTGGGCTTTATTTATGTCAAGATGCATTCAAACACCCGACGAGCAAGCCTGCCAGGAAAATGATGAACCGCCAGGGATGTTTTTGTTGCAAGAAGCCTGTGGAGCATTAAAGGAACATTCCGGGCTGTTGAATTCATGTTTAACAATTTTATCTGCTTCCTTTTTCATCCTCCTTGATGTCGTAATGTGAAGCCACACGATTAATACCAGTTTTAGCATTGCTTCTATTTCATTCTGGTTGTCCCTACACATGTAAATGGAGACCTCACCCAGACCCCCTTTATTATTATTATTAGTATTATTTAATTGCTGCGTGTCACTTCCTAAATGTAGCCCATCTGAAACAGTCCACCAAATACTCAAACTTGAACATGTTTAATCTCTACACTTGCTATTTAAATATTTTTGTTTTTGTATATTAGAGAGAAGTGCTTTATTGGTGGTAATCTCAAGAGTGAACTGTGCTCATGTTAAGATGGTTGTATTTTTGCTGGAGCTGACATAAAGATGGCTGAATTTATTTGTCTGTGGATTTTTAGAATTTTTTTGAATTGCAACATTCTTCTTATAAGGCCCAAAAACGAAAAGTGAAACGCGAAAAACGAACCACGAACCGCAAAAAACGAACCACGAACCGCGAAAAATGATCCGCGAAAAGTGAATCGCAAAAAAGGAATTGTGAAAAAAGAGAAAAAAAGACAATAAAAAGAGAAAAAGAAAAAAAAGATGAGAAAGAGAAAAAGAGAATAAAAAGAGGAAAAAGAAAAAAAAGAATAAAACAGAAAAAAGAGAATAAAGAGGAAAAAAGGAATAAAGAGAGAAAAAAGCGAGAGAATAAAAAAGAGAATAGAGAAAAAAAGCGAGAAAAAAGAAACGAGCAAAAAATAGAGAAAAAAAGAAGAGAGAAAATAAAAAGAGAAAGGATAGAATAAAGAAAAAAGAGAATAAAACGAGAAAAAAGAGAGAAAAAAAGAATAAAAAGAGAAAAAAGGATAGAATAAAAAGAGACAGAATGAAGAGAAAAACGAGAATGAAAAAAGAAAAAAGCGAGAGAATAAAAAAAAAGCGAGAGAATAAAAAAAGCGAGAGAATAAGAGAAAAAGCGAGAGAATAAAAGAAAAAAAGCGACTGAATAAAAGAGAAAAAGAGAGAATAAAAAGAGAAAAAGCGAGAATAAAAAGAAAAAATAGAGAAAAAGCGAGAGAATAAAAAGAGAAAAAAGCGAGAATAAAACGAAAAAAAAGAAAAATGCAAGCAAATAAAGAAAAAAGCGAGAGAATAAAAAAAGAACAGAGAAAAAAAAGCGAAAAACGAACCGCAAAAAAATGAACCACGAAAAGTGAACTGCGAACAACGAACCGCGAAAAGTGAACCACGAAAAGTGAACCGCGAAAACTGAACCGCGAAAAATGAACCGTGAATAACGAACTGCGAAAAGTGAACCGTGAATAACGAACTGCGACTAGTGAACCGCGAACAACAAAACCGCGAATAGTGAACCGCGAATAACGAACCGCAAAAAATGAACCACGAATAACAAACCGCGAATAGTGAACATCTAATAATGAACCGCGAATAGTGAACCTCGAAAGACAAGGGAGTTGTTAAAAGCACACACATAGAAGTTTAATGAAATAAAAGAGTGGAGGTTTGGTAAACATTTTGTCTGTGGCATTACATACATTCAGCATAATTCCGGGACTTATTTCGCTTCAATCCCACCATCAAGTCCTGTGACAGAGAAGCAACATCTTTTTACAACATTGTGTGGTTTATATGAACATCGTTATGTATATCATAGCTCATAAGATGGAGAGTCTTACTGATTTGAGTTACAGTACATCTCAATATAGCACAAGCATCACGATGATGTCTACCAGGAAGTTGTACTTGCACACCAAGGAGACGTGAACTGACAGAAGCCAACAAAAAGTCACATTCCACGAAAGGTGCGCCTTTATGAGGCCCACGGCCTTTAAGGAGGACGGTGAGCATCTCTACGGTTACATAATTACCAGAATTCCCAATACCAGAACAGTATGTGATCCATTCTAAACTAAAGAACAGCTAAACATTACCACTTCAGGAAAAAGCATATTTATTATCTGTACACATTTATACATTCAGCCTATGTGCTCACTGAATTGGCACCTCAAGATTTTTTTTTTTTTTTTTTTAAATATCAGCTAGAAAATGTCCTAACCTTTTATGTGTCATAGCGGTTGCACGGTTGTGTTATTTTCCCAACACGACTCATGCTTGACAGCAGCTTATGTTGTATGTTGAACTTTAGCTTCATTGTTTTTTTTTTTTTTTATGCAGTTTTTAAATTCATTTTTAATTGTTTTCTTTTGAACTGCAATGCACACATAATGCATCGCCATACAAAAAAAATAAATAAAAAGAGGAGCAAAACAAGCCGATGCGCTCATGAACATGATGTAATATTCACATGGAAGACAACATATACAATATTTAACGACAAGAGTTCCAGAGCAGACCAGCAGTGGCTCCTATACGTGTATAGACGCATCGAAAAAACATTTTAATCTTTGAGAAAACTCCATTTTCATCTGTGGTTCAATTTAAAATAGTGAAACGGCGCATCGATTCACTACATACAGTGAAATACAGTATTTCACGATTTAATTTCTCATAATTTGAATGATCAAAGCTGACAAAACTCCTTCTCCAAGGACTTCAACTATTATGTATGAAACAGTCAAAAATGCTTTTTTTAAAAATGCAAATTAGGTAAGAACTGGCTTTTGAAAAACATTTTCACATGCGTTTAATCGTGTTTCACATTTTGATTTGAGCTACTGAAATAAACTTTCCCACGATATTCAATTTTTGTTTTAGATCCAAGTTTGTGGCCCATTACTACTTGTCATTAAATGGTGGACAAATTATTAAAAACAAAAAGACCAAGCCAGCACCCTTCACCACCAACCTTCCATTTAACATAGAAAAATACTATACCCCCCCAAAAAAGAAATACAAATATATATATATATATATTAGAATCTGTTAGGCATTTCTATATAAACGGGGAGGTTTCTTTTTTGAAGGTTACACGGTGAAATAAAATACAAATTAAAAAAATGAGAAAAGAGCACGATACAACAGGGAAAAAAAATCTAATCAATCAATTACAAAGTTTTATGTGGTTTTTAATCAGCCAACTTATTGCTCCTCGTTTTGAATACTGCAAGGTGTCACGAGGAGGAGACGCTAGATGGCCCCCTGCTGGAAGGAAGGGGTAATGCATGCTGGGGGACTGAACGAGCCCAGTTAGTCACTGCATCCGCACTTATGTGCCACTCGAACATCTTTTTCTGAGCATGTGCGTGGGTTTGTGTGGTTGACTGACAAATAAACAACAAACTGTCATGTGACACTTGGTCAATGCTCCAGCTCTTTTCTTCTTTCGTTCACCCCCGTCACGCTACCCTCACTGCTGTTTGCGGTGGGGTGGGCAGGGGTCGGGGGCCCTCTGGAGCCTTTTGAGTCACAACTCAATACTGCAGCTCACAAAGTACGTGTCCTATTTTACAAGAATCAAAGTTCTTAATATATAGATAGAGATTTTATATATTTTCTTTAGAATCTCTCTTTTCCATCATGTTCTAGACGCTGCAGCCCACACATCCGCACTTGATGCTCTTCTCCACCTCCTCGCTGAAAGTGGTCCCGTCGCTGCACTCAAACGTGTATTTCCGGCGCTTCATCCGCTGGCTGGCGCAGCAGGTGCCTGCCTCGCACACGCCGTTGCATTCCACCCAGGACACGGTGCGCGTTGTCTGGCAGATAGCGTAGCCTCGCTGCACCTGGTAGAAGTCCCGCATGGGCTCGCCCCGACACGCCGACTCTGGAGGGTGAAAAACACCAGCAGAGAAGTTGCTATATTAAAAAAAAGAACTGAAATGATTTCACAAGTACAGTGGTTATATTATAAATATAAATCTGGATTAAGATGAGGCCAAGAAGATGGAAACAAAATTAACATTTGAAAACATAACCGCCTTTGGAGAGTGGATATGAAAAGTCGACACACCATTTCTTCAAATATCAGGTTTTTGTGAACTATGTGGGACCAAAACTTTTTCATAATTCCCTTCACCTTTGCGTAGGCCCCAATTTTGACCATCACAAAAACATGGCATTCGAACAGGGGTGTGTAGACTTCTTACAGCCACCATAACTATGATGAATAAGCATGGGAGTCAAACCTGTATCACAGAGTTCCCCTGTGTAGCCACTTTCGCAGTGACAGTAGGCGTCTCCCGTGTCGGAGATTTGGCAGCGGCCATGTTTGCAGTTCAGCCGGCGGCAGGGGTTGAACAGCTCCCCCTGTTGGTTGCACAGCGCACCGCGGTAGCCCTCGGTACAATCGCAGCGGTAAGATTCGTTGTCCAGCGGGATGCATCTGCCATGGACACATCTATAGACACACACCGTCCCTTTTAATATACTGTATATCGTACGACCTCAGTAACGGACATTCATTGTGTGGTGGGAAAAAAAGGCAGAGTTTGACGAAGATTAAACATACTTTTGACTGCTATTTTTCTTATTGAAAACATGTTCCAAAAGGTTTTGTTGCTGTTTTTTTTTTTTGGAGGCTGAAATAGAGTGTCGGCCGTGCTTTGGCTAACATACTTGCTGCCTTGACAGGGGTTGGAGGCCGGCAGATCGCAGTGAGGTCCGCTCCAGCCTGGCCGGCAGTAGCACACGGGCCCCTGGAGGCCGTCGGGCTGGCAGATGCCGTGCACGCAGTAGATCTTCCTGCAAGGCTCACAGCCCGGCACCACGCCGGGTTTCATCTGGGTCTTGGTGAAGTCCTGCAGCTCGTTGTTGATGTACAGGTTCTGGATGCAGCCGTGAAAACTGGAGCTGTTCTGGATATGCCACAGGCGGAAGGCACCCGGGTGTACGCCCACGGGCATCCCTGCGGGAGGTCACAAGGTGTTTAGAGGAATGATGCTTGCCAAGTAGCAGCACAAACAGACAGTTAACACAGGGAAGGTAGGAGTGAAATGAAGGAAAGGCTTTTCAAGCAGATGTGTCTTACGGTGCCATTTTTTTTCTTGACTTATACAGTATATCGAGTAGTGCCTTGCCATACCAGTGAGTTAAATTACAAGTTTTTCGAGATACCAGCCGTAACGTGAGCGATTTTTGGTTTTGATGCAATGGATTCAACACACTTTCCAACAACCAACCATTTGACAAATAGTGAACAATGAATCAAAAGAGGCTTCAAGCTGTTGAATACCACCGCCAACTGATGTTTACTGTCAAACTAAAAATAAAACCAATAGAATTACACCTTGTGTATTTAAAACAACCCCAAAATTTAGCCTTAAGATTAGCCTTTCAAGCTTAATGCTGAATGAAACTTTTTTTGCAATGCGAAACGCTGTCAGCAATGGATTGAACACAAAGAGTGCAGCAAGGACATGTAGACAGACAATATTACAGGATTCAGTCACATATTTATGATTCTCCACAAAGAAGGGCTAATAGTGCTGCACTGGTTAGCTGCAAGAAAAATGAACAGCATAGCTGTCCGTCTGTCCGCATTAAATTGATGCAATGTAAAAAGTATTATTTAAAAAAAAAACCTATTTGTTTGTTTTTAAAAGGTACAATATTATGACATGCTATTGTTACTCATTACAATACACATTAAAATAATAGTTTTTTTGGGGGGCTGAAACGAATTACAAGCGTGGTCACGGGACGCATGAAATTGTTAACATTAAATTGATGCAATGTAAAAAGTATTATTTAAAAAAAAAACCTATTTGTTTGTTTTTAAAAGGTACAATATTATGACATGCTATTGTTACTCATTAGAATACACATTAAAATAATAGTTTTTTTTGGGGGGGAGGCTGAAACGAATTACAAGCGTGGTCACAGGACGCATGAAATTGTTACGTCTAGGCAGCTCTGTGAATGGATATTGGCACCGCAAGACACAGCATCCTCGAAAGAGAAGGAAGCCGTTCACATGAAAAGTCTTCTGTTATGATTTTGAATGACACCAACACACAAAACACATTTGCAGCCATTACTCATGACAGTCGGTTTCATGCTCGCCTCGCAACAACTCATCGACGTGGCACAATGTCAAAAGTGGTCGTAAATCACACACGAAGGATTATTTTTGGTACTGGTGAAATCAAACACTGCACAATGATTTGTTATGCTGCTGTTTACCAAAATCATCACCAGATCGGTGATTCTCAAAGGGAGGTACCGACCGATATGCGAAAGAATCACTGTACATTAAGTACAGTTCAGTTGTCTTTAACATTTAAGTTCAATACAATTACCATTTCATTTGGAAGAACTTTATTTTTTTCACATTTTACTAGTAGATTCAATACTTTTTAATTGGATAATTGAAATTCAATATTTTAGCTGACTTAAGTGCAGTGTTCGTTTTAAACTAACCATGACGTGAGAGGAGTTGAAAATAATAATCAAGATACTTTTTAGGAGTAAAACCTGCACAAGAAAATCCACTAAGGCAACTGGCGGTCTACTTTTAAGGATTGCAAACAGTCATGAGTGGCTCGATTGCGGACGATGAGAAGGAGAAGGGGGCGGGCGGCTTTGGTTGTGATGGTGGTGGTGGTGGCGGTGGCGGTGGGGAGGGGATGATTGACATTCGACAGTAGTGTAGTAGTTAAGAGTGCCTGAAGAGGAGGGAGGTGTGTTCTGGAGAGGGCCCCTACCCCCCACGTATAGTGGAGCCTCTCCGTTGAGGGGCCTCACTGCCCCGAAGCTGTCCATGGTGGTGGGGAGACCCCCGTCGATGGACAGGTTCACCATCTGGTCCAACGTGACCAACTCCACCGTGTGGAACTGACCGTCATTGATGGTCTCAGCACTGGCGGGTGGGAAGCAAACATGACAAATGTTTAGAAGTGATCGTCAATGATGTCGCCGCGCTACAGTGAGAGCGTCTGACCTGTAGATGGCGTGGCTGGGCTGGCTGCCTGGGTCGTAGCTGACCTTTACATGACCTTGGTACAGCTCCACTGCAATGTGATCGTTGTCTCCGTTGTATAAGAGGATACCGTTATCCTCCGCTGTGGAAACCTGCGGACACAGCAGGCAGGGAGGTAAGAAGCGGATTGGTGAGAAAAAGAAAGTCGGGAAGAGAATTTAGTGGGAGGCGGAGCACGATGGGGCGTACCTGCAGGGTGATGTTGGCTTGCGGCCAGTTCTTGAGGTCAGAGAGCAGCAGGTACGAGTCTCTGTCCACAAAGTTGACGCTGACCAGCTTCTCGCAGCGTGGCCCGCCAAACTCTGGGGGGCACTGGCAGAGGGCGCGGCCACCCCGCTCCACACAGGGGGCGCCGTTCTGACAGTCAGCAAGCTCGCACAGGGACAACGGCGAGGGGGGAACTTCACACAGCTGACCACTGTGCGCAGAATAGGAAAAGAGAAATGATCAAATTGATGAGGCCATACCGTAATTGAGATTTTTTTACTTCTAAAGATTGTGATTGTGATGCTTATTTTTTTCAAGGTCATCCTCCCATATTTTTTTTTTCTTTTTCTAACAAGCACAAGCAAAAAATGAATCTGTATTGTGGTAAATATATATCCAAATTATTCAGCATATTTTTGTGGGTCTAACAGGTGACGTTAAAAGACAGTAAAGTGATTTTTTGGTTTTTTTTTTGTGTGCACGCCGGTTCATTCAAGTCCATAACTTTTGCTGACCGGCAACCCTGGGGGTGGGGTGTCGACAACAACTTTGCAAAATTCGATCACGTGTGGCATAAAGTTATCAGTCAATTAGTCACGTCAGACGATAACAACAATGCAAATAAAGCTTTGCCACTTCAACTTTCATGAAACAATGATAGGTAAACACGTGGACATCTTAAGCACTGAACTCATCTTTTTTCCAAATTCCAAAAAGTCCAAAAAATACAACTATTTTTTTAGTTTTTTTTAAACAGTATGTGTGTGCTCACCTGTAACCTTCCTCACATTGACAGGTGTACCCGTTCAGCTCATCTACACACTGGGCTCCGTTTTGACAGCGATGCTCCTGGCAGTCGTCGTAGTCCACACTGCAGTCGTCAGCCACGTAACCAGGAGCGCACATGCACCTGATGCGCACAAACGTACACACTTGAGTCTAACGCGTCTGTTGTGTGTTTGCTTTTTTTTTTTTTTTTTAAATCACTGACTTGAGCCCAGAGGAGGTGATGAGGCAGGTAGACTGATGTTTGCAGGGACTTCGTCCTGGGGCGCACACGTCCTCCATTTCCTCACACATCTCCCCTGCACGCAGATCATTTGTAATATTACAAACAGCAACAAGGAGCTGTCGAGTGCTGGTCCATGTCGCATTGTCACCTGTGTAGTAGGGGGGACAAAAACAAGTGTAGTTGTTGACTCCGTCCACGCAGGTGGCGCCGTTCTCGCAGTCGTTGTCCTCGCAGTCGTCAATGTTGATCTGGCAGGCGGGACCCTCGAAACCCAGCGGACATGTGCAGCTGCAATACGCACGCAAACATCAACATGTTTTGTGAGACTTCAACTGACTGAGCATGCAGCTTTTTATATATTATATATAAACTGTTTTTTGGATAATCTTCCTCACCTGTACTGACCCTCATCCTCCTTATCCACTTGGCATCGACCTCCGTTGGCGCAAGGGTTGCTCACACAAGCGTTGAGAGCCGTCTCGCAGTTCTTGCCCTGAGATGAGAATCTAGGGTCACGCCAGCAAAACGTCGCCGCCTCCGCTGAGCGTGCTCACGGAACGAGACTGACCTTGAATCCCGGAGCACAGTTGCACCTGTAGATGTCCACCAAGTCGCTATGACACACACCCTGGTTCTGACACGGGCTGGACAGACACGGGTTACACTTGGCCAGCACCGCTGTGTCCACCTCACCTATGTAAATGGAAGAAACATATGGTAAGCATGAACCTTTGAGACGAGCATAAAAACATAACATTTCAATTTTGAGGTGTACCGAAAGTTCTCAGTGTACAGCAAGGTTAGATGGTTAACGAAAAAAAAACAGTTTGGTTAATGAAATAAAATACACATAGGGGTGTTTTTATAAAACTAACTATAATTATAGTGAAAATGCCCTTCCATTTTCAACTTTGTCAATTAATTTCATACATTTAACTTTTGTGGTTATTTGACATTTATTGATGGCGGTATTAGTGTCAGAAAGAAGTTGAAACAGATGCTTTTAGTGACTTATTTGCACCCCACAAATGCTCTATATATTAAAAAAACTAACACTAAAACTAATAAAAACTAAACTAAAAACAAGCATAAAAAAATCAATAAAAACTAACAAACCTGCTCTAAAACTAATGAAAAGAGCCTGAATAAAAACCAACCCTGAATCTCAAAGCAAAATAAAAACAACCATAATGACAAATCCCAAACTATTAGAACCCCAGTGTACATTCGGCTTCAATATAGCTCACCCGTGCATTCAAACTTCTTTGCTGGTGTGGTGAGCAGGAGTTTGCCCTCCAGACCGCGTGGACCAGCACAGCGGGCGATACCAGGCTCTTTGTATCCAGTCTTGACCCAGTCGGACAACCAACGCAGGCGGCAGTCGCAGTACAGCGGGTTGGCGCCGATTGCTCTGATAATAATAGAATGAAAATTTTAAAAAAATGCCTCAATAATCCAATCTTATAATCACTAATAGAGGAGCTTGTGACCTTCACACTTCACAATCAGTCATCTCTCCTATGGTAGTGCAGTGATTCATATAGATGACTTGTGCAGCTGGCATTGTACTGAGCCCACTGAAGTTTGGCCAAGTGAAACTAAGAAAATATTTAATATTGAGTTGGAATGGAGTACTTTTCATTCGTTCTTTTTTTGTGCTAAGCAATCAAAGTTGGCTTGACTTTTTGCAGTCTGCGCCAGATTAAGTGATGTTCGAGTTTAATTTCTGTTGTCAATGTGTACTGTTTTATTCATACTATGGCACTGTTCATATTGCGTTTCGAGATGACAAACATCCCACCGCAATGTGCCCCTATTGAAAAATTAGGAAATAACTTATTTTACTATATTTGTTGATTTATCATAATTTATTTTTAAAATGCCATGAAAATGATTGTAGAATATATTACGACTTTTTGCAGGTCCAGCTCTATTCGTGTAGTACCCTGCACTACCACCTGATGTCTCTTTCGACCTTCCACAAAGACAAACATCATTTGGGGGCCGGAAGGCAAAGCCAGCCATGGTGGAGCCCTGCTCATCATTTTCTTGCAAAAATTCTGAACAAAGCATAATTTCAGAAACGTTTACGATATTTCCTGAGCGAGATAAGGTCTTTAAAATCTTTCTTGAAGATTATGTCACAAGCGAGTCAGCTCAACACTTGTCATCGATAACAACATTGATTAGCATTTAAGGCAGTGCGGGATTTCAACCGCTGTGATACTGAAGTCCTCTGGTGTCATTCTACATTTTTCATTTGCACTTCATCCTCCACTGCTGACACTGACAGCAGTGCTACTGCGACCAATGAGAGGGCACGCTGCTGGAAATCTTTGGGACCTGTGTTTGCCTAATGCTAAGTCCGCCCCTGCATCAGTCAACTCTGTGTGTGGTATGAGTACAAATGTGGAGAAATAAAAGAGATGGAGTGAATATTTATCCTCCACACTGCCAACGAGTGATGACGAGACGCTCTTAAGCGCTTGTGTCACGTTTGGATCAATGCAGGACTCTGTCCTCACGCTCCTGAATCGATGCACTTCCATTACAGCGGCACACCGCTTCATCTTTCAGGCCACGCCAATAGCTGACACCTGACATCTGCAAACACGGACGCCACTTGACCGGGAGCAAAGATCAATGGCCCGCAATGCGTTTTGCCAGGACGCGTCAGAATGTCTTGTTCCTTCCTTCGGCCACGCCTCTTGTTTTGATAAGTCTATTGATCATGAGTCAGGAATGGTGTGTACAAAAAAAAAAAAAGTCCATAAATAAATAAGCACGCAGATCTGTGCGGACCATCTGAGCGTATGTGTGTTTTGGAGATAGAGATGGGACAGTGGAGGGCTCTGTGCAAGCTTAACCACAGTGCGCCTAATTAGAGTAAGGGGAGGGAGGTCGGGCCCACCAAAGAGGACTACAGACTGGGCACTGTGTGCCAGACTGCTGCATGAAAGCATATGTACATCTGTATGAGGGCGTGTGTGTGTGTGTGTGTGTGTGTGTGTGTGTGTGTGCGTGCGTGCGTGCGTGCGTGCGTGCGTGTGTGTGTGTGAACCTTACAAGTGGGAGAGAGAGGCCACGTCACCGAAGATGCCATCGGGAAGCTCGGAGATTTCGTTGCCATGGAGAGACCTTCGAACCAGAGATGGGAGTAAGTCAACACTGTGTGTCCCAAGTCACGAGCCACTGTGGCAGAAATCAGCAAGTCATAAATCAAGTCATACACTTTTGCTCAGTCACGATGGTGTTTTTCATTATTTATTATAACTCATAAAGTATATTCACAGATGGTAAAGTTAAAAGAACACCAGCTGGGAGTGTGAAAATATATTGTGTGTGTAATTGACGCAATTGGAAACTGTTCAAAATGGAAACAAAACAGCGTGATAGTCATAAGCGTATCACTCTTCAAAGTGCTGGATCAAATGTAACCCAAAATGTGTCCGGCAGTTAGCTCAGCGCTGGGTCCAAAAGGGATTATGGGTTATGCATTGGGTTGAGGATTTACAGCAAAATGGGCCGCAATTTGGAATTAACAAGGGCTAAAAATTGCTTATATGGATGAATAAAAGCTACCAAGTAATGTGTTATCAGGTTAGTTACTTTGGGCAGGGCTCTTACAACTGAATACCCATTTTCCATGGGTGGGGGTCTGCCTTGACTGGGATTTGAACCTGTGTCTTGTCTAAAGTCAGCAGCGTCACCCACTGAGCCATCCACCAACATTTCCTAAGAACGTTCCATTAAATTACGTCAAATTCAGTGCACAACAAAAACATCGAAAAACTGACAAGCTTCAGCTCTTCAGCCTGCCCAAATCCAAACTCCAATGCACTTGGCAGAATTTTTTTTTGCCGGTGGAAAAATCATTGGCTGGGCAACAGAAGACTTTAGCTGAATAGTAAACACTATGCATGACATAAAATCGCAAAAAATAAGATGAACATAATTTGCATCCCTCCTTTGTCCTCTTTACTTGAATTCACTCCCACTCTGGATGGCTGATGAAGAACCACTGACCCAGTTTAGCGTGAAACAATTGACAATCGTCCTCATTGCTGAGGAAGACGTCCACATTGAGTTGAATATTTGGCTGATTGCTGCATGGGTGGTAGCGACTTTCTTTGAGCTCATAGTCGAGCCTGGTGCAAATACGAGAGGCTCTCAGAGTCTGGAGAAGGACGCGATCAGGTTTCAGTGCGTGTCTGGCGGGCAGGGCCACCAACAAGCTTATCAAGGCTGTGGGGAACAGAGTTGCAGCATTTTAAAAGCGCATACGGGAACGTTAACACAGAACTGGGACATTTGCACCTAAGGAATTGCGGTCTACTGTGAAGTTAATCCATTTATGCTTTATTTTATTTATTTTTTTGAGCAGTTCTCATCTGCTCAGCCCATTCCAGTTGACTTGGCAAGAGAATTGGGGTACACCTTGGACTGTTTGCGAGTCAATTGCAGGGCACATACAAAACAAACAAGCATTCCCACCGAAAAACAATTCGATACCTGTCCGAGTAGTTTCAATGAAATATCGTTTTGACTGTTACCTGACTTTTTCTGTGAGTAAGAAAAACCTTTTCCACACGGTTACATTGAGATAGCGATGTTTGACTACATCCCCCCCCCCCAAAAAAGAAACGAGGCAGTCTCATGACTGCATTCAGAGTCTCGACGGCCCTACAAAGAAGCAGTTTTCAAAGTGACTCGTGCACTTTCATCCGTGCCTCCCGAAAAATGTCCGCATATCAGCCTATAAGACCCTTACTTGGATGTGGTGAGCCGATTGAGCTAGCTGTTTCATGAGTGTAAACAAAGAAAGACGATTAGTTCTAGCTGAATTTTCCTTCATTTATTTTTACGATTCTTATTTCAAGAATACATTTTAAATGTTGTCCATTTGACGTTCATGCTCTGATTAAAAACAAACAAAAAATCCAAAAGCAATTAAGCAGTTACTCGGGACTTCCTTCCAATAATACCAGTCAGGGCAAAGCAACTGGCAAAGCCACACTAAACACAATGAAAGTGTCTTGAAACAATACAATGGCCTGAATGTGGAGGCGCATGATTATGAGTGAGTGGCCAGCAAGCGGCAGGCGGGCAAGCAAGTGTGCCAGCCAGCTAGCCAGCAAGCAGTGTGCCAGCCTGGCACATGGGAGTAGGCAGCCAGGGAGTCTCCGGGAAGTAACCTGATCCGCTCACGTACTGTAATGACATCCTCTCTTTGTCTTGTGTGCAGCTGTGCATCATGAAATCATGTCAGCTTCATGGCTAACGTGTACAGACTGGATCGGGATTTCAGGATATGTCTTTATAGTGTATATTTTTTCCCTCTTTTTTTTTTTTGTTACTTTCTTTTTCCCGCTCAACCCAGCATGTGGGCCACACCCTGGCGCTGTTTTGGCTCACCCCCCCACCCCCGAACTCCCCACTCATCATCCCCCACACCGAATACTCAGCAGGCCAATTAGCAGCTTATTAATAGGCGGCTCAAAACCACAAACTTCATACACACACGTGAAATCTCACTCGAAGCAAAACCGCACAGCGCGCCCGCGCCAGGTTCGGGCCCGGTGTTCCGTTTGAAGCGTTAATGATGCTTCTCGTCTTTACTGCAGCGTAGAGTTAGAGGTACAGCTTGGTAAAGGCGCTAGCACCTCAGGGTGTGTGACTCTCCCGCTCTCACAGCTTTCACTTCACGGTTTCCTTGAAGCTCCAAACTTTGAACTGTCAACTTGGGTCTAAAAGTCGAAACCCATTAATTGGAGCTCATTGTTGCCTTCGTCTCAAGGGCTCACTGAGTAAAGAAACAAAACTGTGAGCGCAAAGGATGTTAAATAGGAGCCACTTGATTAAGTGGCACCGTTTTACTGAGGTTAATTCACACCTAAGCAAAGTAAATTGCAGTATGTACAGTATACAGACAACTACTGGCTCATTTAGGGGAATAGGACATAACCTGGGGTCATAAAAGGGAGAAAAGTAGTTCTACCATCAACAAACACAGGAAGGTGAGATTTGGAAATGTCTTCTCATTGGTTGAAATTCTCCAAAAAGTCTGGACAACAGGCCAGATCCCCAAATGTTCATTTTGAGTCAGCGTCAAAACACGAAACTTCCTTTTGAAAATATGCAAATGATGACATAGAAATGTATCGACGGGTAGACGGGCGTGGTTAGTGCTAATATAGATCTCAGTCTGAGATTCGTATGTGTGTGGCGCCCTTAGGTAGGGGGTTGGCGGGGGGGTTGGCGTTTCACATGGCGTCACCCAGGCAGTCTCGTGGAAGCAGGCCTGGCGTGAGTGAGTAAGAGCAGAAATAACGGATGGCGCTTCATTAGTGATCAAAGCGACGCTTGCAAGGCAAGCAAGGCGACATCAAGCTAATGACGGCCGAGCTTTGCTCTTGTCGGGCGCTAAAAGGCCTCTCAGGCTTTGTGTGGAGTAATGATGGGGGGCTTCAGTCACATCCCACCGTAAAAAGCTTTGTTGTCACTAGTAAATTTTTTTTTCTCTCTTTTTTTTTTTTTTTTTTTAAGTGTGCCTGCTATGAGCACACATGGGAGGCCGATGTGTCTACCTCAGCCTGCTCAAACTACAGCCTGCGGACGATTTGCAACCAGCTGTCTGTTTCGTAGCGGCGAGCACCGTGAACTAAAAATAACATTTCACACAGCACATGGATGTGCCGCCTATGAGAACTACTACGATTAAAAACAATAATAGATTTTAGATTTTTATGTTTAACAGTTGGTAGGTTTGACATTGATCTTTTCTAGGAGTGCAAATATGTAAAAAAAAAAAAAAAAAAAAAAAAAAAATTGCAACTAAAAAGGTAAGAACATTCTGCGCTATGCTGGCAACCAGTTCAGGGTGTCACGAAAATAGCTGCAATAGGCTCCGGTACGCCCTCGTGAAAATAAGCGGATTAGAAAATGGCTGGATGGGTGGAAGGTAAGAACATTTCTAACACCTTAAAGAATAAAAATACAGTGCTCCCACGCACTTCTATCAGGTGTAATTCCACGTACCACCACTTGATGGCAGCACACTTTGAGACGTACATTTCAATAAAGAAATGAACCAGAAGAATTGTTCATTTGTGTTTGAGCACAACCTTTTGTTGAACACTGTCATCTGTAATCCTGTTTTTTACGCCTACAGAAAGTGACAGTGAATTGATGACCTTCTAATGTACATCTTTGAGGACGGTTAATGAAATATCTCGTGAGATGAGTTTGTTAGTTTTGGAAAAACAAAATGGGATTTGTTTACCGTAAAAACACTGAGGGATCAGTACACTGTACAATATTTTTGCTCACCGTTGATCTTGATCTCACTCAACACGTGTGTTTCAGTGTGTTTGTATTATTCCAAAAGTATTTTTAAAGACCTACTCCAAAAAAATAAATGTCGGAAATGTTATAAAAACATGCCTTTAAGTATGGACTTTCTAAATCACAGATTTCACTTATTGCGGTGGTGGTCTGGAACGTAAATCCAGCGATGGAGGGGGATTACTGTAATTCTGATTCGGGAAATCCTTCCCTTCACTTATGGATTATTTTTAGGGTATTTAAGAAAACAAAGGTGAAGGATGATGAAGTGGCCCTTGCAGCCTTTCTTTTTTTCTCTGTATGCAGCACTCAAAGAAAAACGTTTGGACACCTCTGGTCTAAACACACATACACACACACACGCACACACACGCACACACGTGAGTCTCCACTGTGTCTGGCCTCAGTGAGCGAGGCCGTCGATTTGAGTTGGAACGCGAGGCAAAGGCTCCAAATCTCGCTTGGGTTTCATCATCTAAGTGTCGCACACGTTTATACGCAACATCTCAGTTACTGAGCAGAGCGATTGCTCCCCATTTGGAGCCCACGGTCAGCGAGAGGGTACAATCAAAGGCTCGCAGGCACCGTCAAAGCCATTACGGTTCGCGCGGGGAGAACATTCTCGGGTAATCAGTGTCATGGTGATTGTGCGCAGCGGCCCCGGCGAGGTGTGGGCTGCGGGTGCCGAACGCCGAGGTTGCCATTTGCGCAGAGAAAATGGGTCAGAGGTTGTGTTTGTGTGCGTGTATTCATAAGCTGTCATAACTGTTTAGACGGCGGCGCACTTCTCTGGAGTTTATCAAAGATTCTCAACATCTGTTGGCCTCCTCTCCCTCTTTTGTCAAATATTCTTTTTAATCACTCATTTAGGCTGATTGCAGAGCTTCTCAAAATAACTTTCTTGGTCTATTTTGTGCTTCTTTTTTTTTTTTAATGTTTTCTCTTTTTCTTCTCGTGTTACTGTGCTTGTTTTTCCTTGTTCTTGGTCAAGGATATTGGAGTGCCTGAAGTGGATTAAATGTGAATGATTTTTGAATGCATAAATCTTTCCGTCTGTCCATCCATTCATCCACCCATGTTTTCAATACTACGTGGTACCTCTACTTACGAAATTAATTGGTTGAATTTCTTGAAGAACATTTGGTAAGTAGAGACGCATTTTCCATGTAAATGCCCTAATCCGTTCCAAGACCCCAAAATTCAGACATAAATGTTTTCTAAAGCATAAAAATGCATCAAAATATGTAACAAATACATGCTACAATTACATTACTGTACAATAAATTGTTGTCCAGAACGTAAAAAACAAAGAATAAAGAATAAAAATGACGGCCATTTAACTTTTAACTGCGGCCTCATCGTCTTTTTGCCCTCTTTAGTTCATGTTCTCTCTCAGAAGTGGTTTTTACCTGCCGTTTTGCAAAGAACTACTCCAAGGACGTTCGCTTTTGTCGGTTTTTAACAATCCTTCAAAAATTTCCAAGGCAAAAATCAGCATAGTGAGTGCCTTTTAAAACTTTGATTTCCAGTACATTTGAACCGGATCATTATTTAAGAACGTTTTAAATTGTTTGTCTCTATTCAATGACAGCGTTAATGTTGTACATAAGGTTACAGTTGGCTCAACCAATACTAAATATACTTTTAGGAATAAAACCTCGGCCTTGTTAAAAAGCTGCTGTATTTCATTATTGATAATTTGGTGGTACTTGGAGAGCCAGGTGGTATTTGAGGTGATATTTGGTGTAAAAAGTTTACGAACCACTGAAAGAAAGAGTAACGTTTTGGAACTCACAGTAGCCGGAGAGAGTGCAGTCCACTGAAGGCCATTTTGGGAATGCAGCGCAAGGAGTTGTAGCTCAAGATTCTGTAATGTTAAAAAAAATTAATAAATAAATACAATAAAAATAACACTGCGTTAATTTGTTTTAAGAGAATGAATATGAGGACGGAGAACCGTCGGCCCTCACAAGGTGGTGAGCTGGCTCATGTTGGCGAAAGATGAGTTGGTCAGAGAGTTGATCTTGTTGTTGCTCAGATCCCTAAAAAAAAAAAAAAAAAAAAAAAAAAAAAGAGAAAGGGCGGGGGAATCAAGCAGCTTTATGTCATGTTTTTGTTCACTGAGATCACACAAAAAAGGAGACTTACACTAGCTGGAGGAACTTAAAGGTGGACAGCTCCTTTGGTAGCACGCTGAACTGGTTTCCATCCAGATACCTGAAGGAAAAGAAAAAAAAAACCCACATTCATTCCAACCTCTGTACAGAGCATAATTTAATGCTTCGTGTACTAAAGAGAGAAATAATCCTGTCTTTAGTTTACGATTACTATTAATCCTTGGCGGTCAAAGCTATATTTCTATCATGTTGCGAAGAAATATGTTGCTTTTGTTGGAACGGGCCAACTGCAAGAGAGCGGAAGTCTCGCCGCGAGAGGGATTAGCAGTGTTTCGAGAAAAGCGACGCATCAAAGGCTTTGAATGTGTCGAGTTGTTGTTGACGCTCTTGTGAAGAGGGTGTCGATCCAAGCATGCAAACAGACAAAGCGGGTTGCACTCGAGAATATTATTTGTCAATCTCCCCTTTTGCCGCAGTTGAAGTTGACTTCTGGAAAGCCCCTTGAGATAATCGCCCATGTTGTTTTTGAGGGGGTCCGATATCCAACACACCATGACAACACAGACATACTGTCAAATACAGCTCCCAAATAGCCATCTGGCATACACGTCGACTCAAGATGAATACGAGGACACAATTCCAAAAGAGTACAACGCAGACAAAAAAAACCGCATTTTATAGAAAAGACACTGCGACACTAAAGGTCCGGGACTTCTTGAGAAACACACACCCTCCCGTGCATGTGTGTGTTCCCTTGCAGCCCACCATGGTTGTCATCATGCCTGCGAGGGTGCAGACGCTGCCAAAGCAAAGTGGTAGCAGAGGGCTGCCACCCTGACAAATGGCCTGAGAGGAGCTGCGGGGGGCCTTTCGCCTTTGCTTTTGTTGACTGGATTCAAAAGTTGGTGGGCTGAAGAAAGGGGTGTACCGGTTAGTTAGGGGGGGCTTTGGACTGCGGGGTAATAATAGGTAATGATGGTGCTCAGGACACTTTAGATAATGACGGTGTTGCGGGCGCTCCAGATGACTACATGAAAGGCCGAAACGGAGTGGCCCCACCTGGTCACACCTGCTGGGACAATGACAGGCCTCAAGGCTTGTGAGTGCGTGCGCACGAAGCGCTCACAGCAGTATTGGAAAGTTCCATTCCCTCCCCTTTCCATTGAAAAGTGCTCATTAAAATGTCCTCTTGCTCCCCTCTGCTCCCGTGGACAGGCTTTTGGCCCTCACACAAGTATGCGCACACACACACTCACCAGCACACACACGTACAGATCCTTGGCCACCAGTAAGAGAGTGACATCAGTGCGAGCCCCAAGGGCTGCAGGGGGAAGAGCACATGAAGAATGTCTGCGAGAACAACTACAGGGCGAGATCTTGGCCACTTTTCCTGCATGCGCTCGTCTCCAAAGTGATGAGATGTGTTTTCTTTGACTCAAATCGCCTGTCACGCCTACCGTAGGCGTGCGTTACGCATTGGGGAACACCTTTGAAAATAGTCAATCGGGATTTGGGTTTGATTTCGATACATTGGTGCGTTTTCCATCGGGCTTATTCTCACCCTGGACTGGTTGATCGCCAGTCACAGGTCTTACGCAGCCGATGGACAATTTCGAGTCTTCAATGAACCTAGCATGAATGTTTTTGGAATGCGTTTTAGTTCACAGTGATGCTTGTGACACGTTACTAAGTAACACATTTACTTAATAATGGCTTACAATATAGTCCGATGAAAGTGACTATTCAAAGACTTAACGCCTGACTTTTTGACAAAAACAAAGTCGTCAAAATGTCAATGGTAGAGCGTCTGTCTTCAAAGGCGCACCTCAATGATCGCCAGTCCAAATTCAGCCACAGTCTGGCATGGTTTGAGTGTGAACGGTATATCGAGGGTGTGCCTTCAAATGACCGGCGACCATTCATGACTCAGGTGTACCCCACCTCGTGCTTAAAAATCAGATGGATTAGGCTCCAATGAGGACAGGCGCTATCGAAAACGGTGAAACGTATGCACGGAAGCGTTCTCCTAAGTCAAAGCCACACGACTGATCTGCTGCTACGCCACTTACAGTTCGGTCACATTTCTGGGGATTCCTTTGGGCAGCGCGTGGAGGTGCTTGTTACTGCAGCGAACCACCGTCTCCAGGCAAGTGCACTCGCTGGGGCACTGAGGTCTGGGCACACAACTTGACTCCTCGTGGCCTAAGGAAAGAGAGGAAATTGGGGAGGGGAGTCGTTACACTCAGGGAAAAGGTGCCGCGGGATGACAAAGAGTGCGGGAGCCGCGTAGATTACAGCCTGCGTCGGAGCTGTCAAAGCGGGCAGAGAAAGTGTTGAAAGAATGAAAAGTTGAAAGGCGAGACAAAGCGCAAATAGCACAATCTCTCAAAGTGACAGTGGCCCATTGAGACAAAGAAAAGATAGGAAGTCTACGGGGAACCAGATAAAGGAGGCTGAGTAATATAATATTGACTAGCCCGGACAAAGAATGGAAGCTGGCCCCGAGGCCCGGAGACAAGTCGAACAATAATTCCGCTGCAAATAAGCTGACTGGTCAATAAGGCAAACGGCTCAATAGCTCCACTCAGCCCGACATCGACAAGCGGCTTAGGAAGTGCTGAGATGCAATCTATTCGGTAAACAAAGAGCTGGACAATAGCGCTCATTATTGCAAATGATCACTGGCAGTTGACGCGGATCGCACTCAGTTACTCGCTGCGGTAAAACTCGAAAAAAATAATAAAACTACAGTTCTGAGAAAGTTGGAGCAAGGTGGACAACTGACTTTTCATGAGCTAAGGACAAACTACGGGAATGAGACCTTAGCATAAATCTACCAAGGCTAGCTACCTGTACATTTTGTTTTTTTGAACAGTGGAAGAGCAAATTGAGTGGCATCCACATTTGCAAGAAGAGTGTTACTCTGAAAACATTATTATTATTTTTTTTACATCACAGTGAAGGACGTCCCTTTAAAAAAATCCTTTAGCATCCAAAAGCTATTTTATGGAAAGTACAATAGGCCCTGGGGACGAAGCATGATTAAAAATAAAAAATAAAAAAATAATAGCTGCTATCTCAACGAAGTGCTCCTTGTTTGCATCGAGCACAATTTGTGTCCTTTAACAGCATCTTTTAAAAAAAAGAAATGATCTTGCACGTCTTCATTATGTACTGTACAACACGGTATTAGTCCTGATAATACCTCAATCTTGATTGCCTGAATGTATTCTAGACAAAGAGTGAAGATAGTTTGGTTCCATACATGTCAATAGGCTTGTTTTGTGAAATCTGCGCAAAGAAGCCCGTCAACCATGACGGTGAGTTTGTGTGCAGATACATTTCTGACCATAACAAAGCCTTGGTAGCTCCTTTTTTAAAAAAAAAATTAAATCACTCGTGGCTCTTACACTTTTGAAATAGAGTTTCAGAAGATGTATGTAACCACGATCATTAGCTTTGGTTCAGCCTTTTCTCTCGTTGAGGGCTTGATGTGAGAGCGCAGCCTTGGCCACGGATGATCGTGATGTGGTCCAGACCATTAAAATTCAATGATAGCATCAGAAATGAGCAATGTTTTAGTCAATTAAATCAGCAATTGAACATTTTTTTGGGCGGGGCATGGGGGGTTTGTATTTCGCCTCATTCTTAATGATCCTCCAGGGAGTGCGACCAGCAGTAGTTACGAAGCTTGATATACTCAGCAACTCTCAGTGCGTCTTAGCGAAAGTCAATGCAGCACCTGACCAAAACCCCCCCCCCAATCATCTTCACGCGCAAGCACATACTGTACCTTCCTCGCAGCGGAAATCAGGCAGTGCTACATCCTGCAGGGGGATCTCCTTGAGGAAGGCCGGACGCTGGCAGCGAGGGTTCCCCGTAACGATCTTCCTGCTCCTCAGCCAGTCTCCCAGCCAGGACAGGCGACAGTCGCAGTTGAAGGAATTGGCAAGAAGGTTTCTGCCAGAGCGATAGCGTGTAAGGAGGCGTGAATGTGAGAATTTTTATGAAGGTTGGAATTGGGGTCTCACAGGGTGGAGAGGGTCTGCAGGGTATCGAAAGCTCCGGGGGTGATGGTGGTCAACTGGTTGTCGTAGAGAGACAGCAGACGCACGTTGTGGAGGCCGGTGAAGCTGTCGTTGTGGATGCAGCTGATCTTGTTGTTCCTCAGCATCCTGCGGTGAAACGGACGGAGCGTTAGAAGAAAGAAATTGGAATTAAAATGGGTGTTCCCATTTTAATTCCAAACTTATTCAAAAATATGTTTGAATAAGTTTAAATGTCTTTCAAGTCACATGTGACTTACAGCATGCGCAGTCCCTCCAGGCCACGGAACATCTCGCTCCGGACCGTGTCGATCTGATTGGCTGTGAGGTGAAGCTCATTGACGGACGAGGCGCCCTCGAACGCGCCATCCTCAATCTCCGTGATTTTGTTATTGCTGAGGTTGCTGGAGAGAGCAAACACGGGATTCGGAAACGTTGAAGCTGCAATAAAAGTCACGGCGTCAAATTATAGTCTTACATTTTCTTGAGCTGGGTTAGGCTCTTGAACATGCCGGTGGCCTCCAGAGTGGTGATGTCATTGTTGTTGAGGCGCCTGGACGAAAGCATTGAAATGTCATATTACTGGCAAATGTTTTTATATTTCTCGCCATGCAGTTTGGTTTTTGCAAAAATGCAATTTTAATACAAAATACAACAATAATAGATATGTTTTTGGAATCTTTGTCCAGCTTCCTATTGCTGACAGCACAGGGTTTCCTTACTTTGAGATTTGAACCAATCTAGTGGGTTTGGCTGACACCTTCCAAATGTTTTAATTGGTCAGAGGGGAACGCACACAAATTTGGCTTGGCAACGGGTGAATAAGAGAGAAATTTTGATCTATGTTGTTGCAGAGTTGCATTTCAGAACTTTTTATGAGGCGCATAATTTAAATGTACTATATTGTTGAGGATTTTTTTCCTAGCCCAACCCGCCACGGCGTTTCAACCATTCCATAATCTTTAGATCGTTTTTTTATCTATCCTTTCTATTCATATTTCTCTTCTTACTGTCTATGATGTTTATAACATTGTCATGAGAAGAGATATTGGAATAGTTTCCCTGATATGGGGCCATCCACTGTATTTTTCGGACTATAAGGCACACCTGATTTATAAAGCACAGTCTCAATGAAAAGGTCTATTTTGGAAATCTCCATATAAAGGGTGCACCGGGTTATAAGGCGCACTGGGTTTTAAGACGCATTACTGTATTGCACATTACATCTCCAATTCGACATTCATGCATCATGCGAAACAATTTTTTTTAAAACATTCAAGGATTTGAAGTGTACTTTGCAGGCCGAAAAATAAGGCGAAGCGTATCAAAATGCCATTGGTGCCATGCGATGGACGCGTGCGAAACACATTGCTTACAGCTCAGTGGTGGATGACGGGATGTGCTCGGGGATCTTAGTGAGCTTCAGGTTGGAGCAGTCCACCACGTTGGACTCGCAGCGGCACTTGGGAGGACACACGGGATCGCTGTTGCAGGCGTTATTCAGCCGGGCGTCCTCGGCACCTGACGCGAGGAAGGAAACGCAAGCCGTCACACGCGGGGAAGCGATGACATCAGCCCTTTTCACGATACGTCCGCGAGTCACGCATCTCCACCACTTCCGCGGTTTGTCCCTAACTTGCTGTTGACCTTAAGTGCCTGCAGCGGAAGCTCCTCTGCCATTCATAGGGGAGGCGCGTGAATGGGGAGGGGGCTTATTCTAGCGAGGTGAGCAGCGGGCCGAAAAGGAACGGTACCCAGGGAGACAGAGATAAGTACGGCAAAGAGGATTCGGACAGTCAGCTTCAGTGAAGCAGAGTGCCCCAGGAGGACTTTGGCCAGTCAGGTGGAGACGGATGAGACGGCAATGAAAGATGAAAGGTGGGGTGAGGCAGTGGTCCTGATCGGAGCTAGAAAGTTTGAGTACTTTTGCCACCTGCGTTCCTGATAGAAGACGTGCCTGGGAGGAAGCAGGTTGGCAGGAGATTGCGAGACGTTTCCCTGCACTTCCTCTCTGTCTATGAATAGACGTTACGTGCCAAAAAGTGCGCTGCCAGATACATCGTGACTGCTCAATAATGGAACAGCTCCGGGAGCCACTTAGAACACAGTGTGTGTGTGTGTGTGTGTGTGTGTGTGTGTGTGTGTGTGTGTGTGTGTGTGTGTGTGTGTGTGTGTGTGTGTGTGTGTGTGTGTGCATATGTTCCATTTAGAGGGAACAGCCCAGTGTTTTCTGTTAGAATAACATTTTCTGTACCCTTCCCTCTTGCATGCTTCGCAGCGGTGCACCTCTCCGCCTCTGTTAAGTTTGCGCATTACGTCACCAAGGACACCGCGGGCCAACCAGACCACACTCACCAGCAGGAAAACCTCAACCAAGAAGCAAAGGGGGAACTTAAAGTCAAGCGCGTGTCCAAATAACGGGACGTCATCTGAAGCCATTGCGTAACCGCAAAGCCTCGTTGTTGACTTTATTAGAGATTGAAGAATGGATCTCATTCGTAGAAATAACTTCCTTTGGACACCGTAAAACAGCTCATTAAGGAACTTTACTTCGGCCAGACAACAGGAAACAGCATTTCCTGCCGGAGAGGAAGTAATGAAAGGTCGAGCGCGTTCAAAGCTTTGATCTTGACGACGCCAAGGCGTCCCCGAGAGAGATTTGTGAGTCATCGTCATTAGTATCAATAAGTACATGGTGGCCACACTTTTACTGCGTGGAACCCCAAGAGGACCAAACATATGATATGGAATTTTTTCTCACTTAAAAATGGCACAACATGAGGAGCTCTTTAATCCACTCTGATCCTCTGCGGACAAAAGTATTGGGATACAATTCTTTTGGTTGAGAGTTGCAAGACGGCCTGGTTCACCATCTTTAGGTCTTTGAAGTTCGTGCACATCAAACTAATCGGACCATGTCGTTATGGACCTTTCCGGTCACGCTGGAACAGAAAAGGTTCTTTCCCCCAAATGATTTCAACAGAGATGCAAGCATGGAAATGTCCAAAATGTCTGGGAAAGATGAAGAATTAAGATACAAGGGGACTTAATGGGTTTACACTAAAAGAAAAAGCGTGTCCCAGTACTTTTGTCCCATGTAGTCATTCAGACAGTAGATTTTGCCGCACATCTGTTTTTGTTATCTGATGGATGCCAAAAATCCCATTAACTCCAACGATCAAATTTTGTTTTCTTCTATCTTGTGCATCTCATTTGGTCTCTAAGCCAGCATTATTCAGATTCAGATTCAGATTCAGCGACTTAGGCCACATAAACGCATATTAATTTACACACACATGCAAGTCAAGACGGTGAATCACGGTATCAACGATCCTCTAAGTTATTTCCTTGGAAGTTCCCTTGCCAAGATGTCCGGAAACATCCGCCGATAGAAATCGACCCCCCCCCGACGGGTTTAATTATCTTTACTGATAGGGAGGACGCACATTCCCTCCCTCATTGAGAGACTTTCAAGTGCGCTCTTGCCAAAGCAAAGAGTCTCTTTCCCCTCTGACGGCACAGAAAAACATTCACACATTTATCATATTGAAAGACGCTCAAAGGTACCGTCACTAGCGGGCCCAGTTAGCTAATTGCATGGATACCACCACCTGTTTTGCTCCTGAACTAATAATATGATTGGCTTGCATTCGTTCGTGTTTTAAAAGCCATCGTTACAGGATGCAAAAAGTCACATTTTGCTTTATATTACAAATAAATAGCACTAAGATGGTGAACTCAGTGACCAACATTTTCGCATGGCCCATAAATCACAACCGACTTCAATCGATGGTATTTTTTTTAAGTTATCTTCAACAACACATATCAGTTCTATCATATTTTTGAGATTTAAAAATGCAAAGTGCTTTTTTTTCCACAGCTAACTTTCTAACTGCGTGTCAAAAAACAAATTAAAAAGTACAACCTGTAAATAAATATATTAAATCTGCCACCATCTGAAGGGAATGTTTGGAGGGGGGAGGAAAAAAAAGGGTTGAGGATGACCAGTCAAAGCACGGAGGAAGACAATGGTCGACATGAACTCACCTGGGATGACGTACTGCTCCTTGGCTGTGATGGAGAAAAAGACAAAGGGAATGATGTCAGTGGGTGCTGGGAAAGCATAGGCGGTGGAGCCCGCTATGCTTCGACACCGTCATATATAATGCAGAGCTTATATATGACGCAATGTATGTGACAAGTGAATGTGAGATTTCTGTGGCGATGACAAAGAGTAAAGTAAGCAAGCACAAGACAATAACAAACGGAAGGCATAATAAGGCCCAAAAAACTCAAATAAAATGACACCGCCGCAGCAATAACACCGCGTAAGGGCAAAGCAGTATGTTGGCAGATGAATGGGAATGTACAGAAAGGGGCAATAACATTTTTGGCCAGACGTAGTCTTAAACTCGCCTTCTGAACCGCGATCGCCAAAGAATTTATATAATGTAAGGTAAGATGAAGGAGCTAAGGCGTGCGAGTCCAACCCGTGAATGATTGATTGATTCAATAATTCTGTCAACACGTCTTGTAAAGAGGGCAAACTAATGTCAGCCACTGAGTGATTGAGGAAACAAGGCAACAGATAAGAGAGAAGTCAACTTTAGAGCCAAAAAAAAAAAAAAAAAGGGAGAGGCACTTGGAAAGCGTGAGCCTACCGGAGCAGCGGAATTTCTTGCTCTTGATCTGCCCGATGCGTTTGTTGGCCAGCCGACGGGGGCTGGCGCAGCGGGCGCCGCTGGTCTCGATGGGGTTGGAGCGCAAGTAGTCGGCAAGCCACTTCAAGTTACAGTCGCAGATGAATGGATTCTGGGCCAGGTGACTGCAGGGAGAAGACCGGACACGGTTCGAGTTCTTGTTTGAAGGTAGAGTACTTTGCTTCGGCTTTACTGGAGCACTTATGCCGCCGCTGAATGATGTGGTGACGAGAGGCTTGTTTTACAGCAGGGGGTGTCAAACCTGTTTTCATCCCCAGCCAAATCGTTCTTATGGTTGCCCTCAGGGGGGGCTGCTTCATAATGGTGAAACCACATCAATGTGCAATCGCTGCAGCCCATCAAAAAAAAACATTTTTTTTTAAATGAGTACGTACGCTTGAGTACTTGTGCTGAAGTTTGGTGCAGGAGGGTTTCCCAACGTTTATTCAGTCAAGGCACATATTTCACATGAGAAAAATCTCACCCACCCCCAAAACAAAAAATGCCGCAAAAAGTAGATGCACACGTCGACGATGTGACACCGAACGGAAAAGCGTTCAATTGTTCTTTCCGTTACTCGACATTTGCTGGAAGAGATAGATGGAAAATCTATTATTCAAAGTAAAAACATCGATAGTTTGTCTTCTTTGTAGGAAATGAAGGCTGCAGTCAACTGGAACAGTAACGGCTTGAATAGTGCAAATTAATGTGCTATCAATACACGAATAGCATTTGGTCATGTTTTGGCTATATTTGAAGAATCGCTTGCATTTGTGTCTCGCAAATATTAAAAGCACATTGCAAGCAACGACGTCTCCTAGGCAGAGGCTGAGCTGCGCTGTATTTGTTCATGGCCTCGGCGCACAGCTAAAGCATGAGGCTGTTACATTTCTTGTGTTCTTTACGGGAAACCCAATGATTGCCCCATTATATTCCGTAACTGCGCCTGCATTTGTATTATCAGCATTTTAGCAACAACAAGTTTTTGCAGACACCATAAAATGATGCAAAGAGTCGAATCGGGCTCACGGGCCTTGAGTTCGACAACCCCGTTGCCCCACGCGAGTGAATCCATCCCTGGGAAAAGTTGTCGTGTTAAACATGTTCCAGCACGAGCTGGCAGATGCTCTTTTGAGAAATGTGTTTTGTATTTTTGGGCCAAAATGAAAAGGGAAGAAAATTCCACAGTGGAAGTCGAAGTTAATTGTTTTTCTTTTTTTTTCCCCTGCAGAAATCTGTGTGTAGTTTTGAGGATGATAGATTTACCCGATTTTCTAACACATCATTCCATTTCGTGCAATTCCAAAGCCTTCGGAGTCAAAAATTTTACGTGAGGTCTCGGGGTTTTATGGCGTCCACGTGAGTGCATCACCATGTGTTTCACTCACAGGGTCTGTATCGCTCGCAGCGAAGCGAAGGTGCCCTTGGCCAGAATTTGGATCTTGTTGTCGTAGAGCGAAAGCAGCGAGAGGTTCTGCAGGTCCTGGAAGGTGTTGGCACGGACGCAGTGAATCTTGTTGGCGTTCAGCAAACTGCGAAGCAATGACGGCAAAGACGAGAGTCGGGGAGGGAATCGGGCTTGTCAGACTTGATTTATTTATTCATTCATTACGTATTCCAGCTGGAGAACAAAGCACAGGTACAAAGTTTACTCAAAGGTTAAGACTTCTTCCTGGAGTGGGAGTAAAACCATTTTGTCTGCCGAGTGTATACGTGTGAGTGTCTGTGTGTGCGTTCTTACAGCAGTTGCAGAGCGTAGAGGCCATCAAAGACACCCTTGGGCAGGTCGGTGATCTTATTTCCATACAACACGCTGAGAGATCACAACACGTGCATGATTTAAACCCGGAAAAATGACAAGCCAGATGAAAATTTATGCGGGCGCACATGCACAAACACGGACGGGCCTCTGGAAGGAACACTTACAGCGAGTTGAGGGAGCGCAGGCCTTGGAAGGCGTCTGGAGCGATCTCCGAGATCTGGTTGTTGCTCAGGTCTCTGTTGGTCAAGAACATCAGTCAGGGAGACACTTGGATTGGATGACGCTAATCAAATAATAGCCAGCGCATCAAAAGAAGATCTCATAAATGGAATCCCGGAGCTTCAGCCCATATTTGGACAAATAAATACATAAATAAATAGCAGCAGGATTTTCTTTCCATACTTATTTAGATTTGTTTTGGCCTGTGTTGGGAGTTAATTAGTACAAAAAGCAACAGAATTACCGCAACTCAGACGCTTTGTTTCAATGCAGTCAGGAACCACTGATGTATGATGGACGAAATAGATCATGACAGCAGAACCACACAATGGTTCTGAGTTTATTGAAGGAAAGGTGTCATACTGAAATGAAATCCCAAATACACATTCCAATCGTCATTTGAGTTTTATGTCCCGCTTGGCATTTTGCTGAAACTAACTGAAACTTGCAGTCATGCAGAAGTAATCTAACAGATTACGGCACTGCCGAGTTATTAAACATGATATGCATGACTGACAGTAGGCTGCTTGTGAACATTGCAGTTGTTAATAGGATCCACAACCTCCTTCCCACACATTAACCACTAATCCTTTGTGTGGCTGTGAATGTAACACTCAGTGGAAGCAGAGCTGCTGAGAGAGAGAGAGAGAGAGAGAGAGAGAGAGAGTTTAAATTGTGCATAGAAGCACAAGAGAGAGAGAGAGAGAGAGAGAGAGAGAGAGAGAGAGAGAGAGAGAGACTGGATGGACTGCGGCCTAAAATTGCAATCTACTCGGCAAACTGTTGGAACGAAATCATCAGGTGGTAAAGAAGGGGCATAAGTTCACATTTGGGGGGGGGGGGGGGTCACAGTTAAATAATTTCATATTGTCGCTCTGGGTTTGGAAATTTCAATAAAGAGCCAACATCTGCTTCAGTGAGCGTCTGTAAACTCAGACACCACAGTGTCTGTGTGTGTGTGTGTGTGTGTGTATGTGTGTGTGTGTGTGTGTGTGTGTGTGTGTGTGTGTGTGTGTGTGTGTGTGTGTGTGTGTGTGTGTGTGTCATTTCCGAGGATAAGAAGACACACAGTGTCACGAAGAGGCGTAACGCCAAGAATACACCAGGATAAAAAAACCTCCAGTGCATATACTGTATATCCTGTAGATCATAAGACTATATTTAACTGGGATGGATCACATCTGACATATTTTATCCACCTCCTCGGAGAGACATAATAAAGACATCTGCAGATGATATCCCATGAAGGTTGCAACATATGATGTATAGGTGCTGTTGAAACCGTGCGTGTACTGAGGTAGTCCATCGGCACGCGGCCAGCTGAATCAACGCAAGCGTGGAGGGTCAACGTCGACATACCGCAAGAGCAGAGTTGATGCTAAATGCGGAATCGGCAGCGGGCCGTGTTTCGGGGTACCACATGGAAGACCTTAAATGTCTTTTTTCTAACTGTATAGTGTCAAGGTTATTCTGCTCTGATTTTCTCCTGAAAGAAAGTACAGTCATACCTCGGTTTTCGACCATAATCCGTTCCAGAAGGCTGTTCGAAAACCGATTTGTTCGAAAACCAAAACCACGCTCTTTTTAAAAAAAAATCTTTATTGAACATGTCTGCTCACAATTGAACGCTACACGAGGAAGCGTCACGTCCTCGTGTAAGGAAGGTGACAGTAGTCAAGTGGTGCATTCAAGTACGCTCAGTTTGGTCGAGAACTGATTTTCGGTCGTAATCCGAGCCATAAAAAAAAAAAAATCGAATTTTCTGGTCGAAAACTGATTTGGTCGAGAACAGAGACGTTCGAAAACCGAGGTTTGACTGTATAAGGAAGCAAAGCTATACAAATTAGAAAAAAAAAATACTCCAGATATACGGCATAAGATGAATCTTAAATCGGCAGTCATTCAATACAGGAAGCATAGTGGTTTCGCTAAACTAGGCACAGGCGCCGTCGTTTGCGGTCTTAATTTCACTCACACCCGATCCAGTACTCGAGTTTTCGGAACAAAATACTTGTTTTTGCACCAAAACAAAGACAGATCTAAGGGTTTGTTTTTTTTTCTCCCCTGCTCCAGTGGCTGCCGGCCTGAGAGAAGAAACGGTTGGATGTTTAAACAGAGAAGCGGCCTTCAAGTTGAGCATAAAAACTCCCTGACCTTCCGCTCTTCCCCGCTTCACTTGCAGCTACGTCGGCCAGGCCTGCTGGCGTTACGGACTGCGGCTGACTGACGGGACAGCTCAACTACCGGCCTGTCGCTGTTCTCACTCTCGCCCGACAGCCAAGCCTCAGCCGTTTCATTCCAGCACACTCTCTGTGCCCTTCAGCGTCCGGGCCGGCCACAGTTTATGTTTTGCCCACGCAGGCGCAACACTCCCCGCACGGGGGCCGGAGCGCCACTCGCCAGGGGAATACCAGCGAACAGCGTTGGAAAGATGAGAGCTGTTATTATGACTGCGTAGCATCTGCTGCACACCGCCCTAACTCTGAGAATATGTTCTCTGGGCGCAGACAAAATAAATGATTCGTGTTTCGTTGGCAGTGGACAGAGACGACAGGCTGCCTGCAGCCTCTTGATGCGTAAGCGTGTCCGTGTTGGTGTACTTACATCCTGCGCAGCTTCTTGTAGGGGGAGAAGGCTCCTGCAGGAACTGCCTTAATCCCATTCTGCTCCAGACGTCTAAGAGGGGAACGAAAATACAACCGGTGAAGCAAAAATAGACTTCACGGAAGAAAAAGCTTTCCTTGAATTTTTACTCAACTTTGTTTTGTCAAGTCGTTGCGCAAAATAAAATCATGCGGATCCAGATACATTTTGAAGCAGTTGTAGAGTCGATTTTAAGAAAAAAGAAAAAAGATCTGGATCCGGTTGATTTTTTTTTTTCTTGCAACCACTTGACGAAATAAATTCAACACACCATTTTTTTTTCAGTGTTTTCCTTCTTCACCTCTGATTTATACGAGTGGTGGGAGTAAGTTGTATATGTGAGTCTCAAGTCTCAACGTTCAAGATTTAAGCACATCCTAAATTGCTGAAGTAAAAATCAAGCAGGTCACCGCTAAATTTCAAGAAAGTGGAGTCAAGTCGTTACTTGGGGAAAGCAAGTCATAAGACAAGGCATATACAATCTTGCTCAGTCACAACATACTGTGCAGCATCGGTTAGTTAGCTGTACTAACATTCGCAATCAACTAGCTTTTCAACAATCCCAAACCAGTGTCCGTCATTTCAACTTTGCAAACTTTGTGTGTCTTTTACACAAGATATCGTAGATATCGTAGCTGTTATGTCTCTTATCTTTGAGTTGCAAACTTTTCAACTGGCCAATGACTATTTACCGACAGTATCAACAGCATAAATGAGTCCCGAGTTCTAAAACCGGTGACTTAAGTCTGACTCGAGTCACGTCGTGTGACTTGAGTCCCCCATTTCTGGGGAATTGGCTTGATTGTATTGGGGGAGGTCTATTCTCCAGCTGTAATAGGTGCAGGCATGTCATAACATCCTGAAACCCCATAAACATTTTGCAAACGAGTGTGCCGTGGAACAGGATCTGCGAGAGGGCCTTGAAATTACAGTCCTATTTCAACTTGATGAAAGACTTTGCAGCACTTACGATCACCGATGAAAAACCCTGAAAACAATAACGATGCCAGCGAGGTGAAACATAAGGAAAGTCGGTCAAGATTTCGCCGCGCAGACAATGAAAACATTTGCTCAGTCATTTCGAGGCCTAATCAGTGTCAGATGGTCGCAGGGGAGCAGACGGCAACAGAGGCCATTAGCGTGGGCGTGCGTGTCCAAGCCGCTACTTAAGTTGGTCCCAGAGCAATTCCCCCCGGTGTGGCTGGCAGAGGGCTGTTTATCTGCAGGTCAGTTGACAGCTTTTAAAAGTCTCCTTAACAAGGCTAAGCGGGCCTCGGCCGAAGCCAGATGAGATTCCGTCCGCTCGTCCAGCCGCCGAGAAGCCTGCCGCACGACAGCAAATGCGAGGCTAGCGCCACGGACGCGAAGCGCCGGGCTAGCCTAGCGAAGATCGTGAAAAGCTATTTGTCACCACAAGGAAATGGGGATCATTTAAAACCTGCAAATTATTGATGATCGTTGTAACCGCAACCTCTTTAAAATGAGGGGCTTGCTCTCAGAGCGAGAACATTTCCACACGATTTAATCATTCAATTACAGACATTTATGATTTATTGCATGCCTTTGAGGGCCCGCGTTGCTATGTTTATGGGCCGAGTGTTTTTGCGAAACATAAACCGCTGCTGCTCAACTTCAGAAAATGTTCAATCTGGAGTCTGCCCCCCCTCAGAGCACGGCATCCATCCTCTACATATGGGCCCATCTAGCGGCGCAATTGACATTCTTGGGATGGCAGTGATTCCAGACCACAGATTCCTGCGGTGGCCGTGCTCTCGCGGTCTGTTTTAGTCTGCTTGTCCCGATGTGTCCGTAATTTTGCCACAAAGTGACGGCGCTGCGGTTCCTTCGCCCTCACAAAGCGGCCGAGCGCTGGGCCAATGTGGCTTTTTGTGCTTTTTCTTAGCAACAAGCTCGTCTCGCTGCTCTGACACAGTCACCGGGTGTTGCTCGAGTTTTTTTTTTTTCTTCTCTTTTTGTCACTCCTTACGAATCGATCCGTGCAAGTGACTAAATCCCTCAATCCACAGAAGAGTTGCTGCATCTGATCGAGAAAACTAAACAATCCCTCAGTGCTGCTTTCAATCAATGCTTCCCATCCAATCTGTCATTCTAAGCGCTTGCATGCGTGTCTGTCTGCAGGCCAGTGTCAACACAATCAATGGTTCTGATCCTTTTCATTAAAGTCCGAGCATGGCTTTCATTAGAGGGATACAGCATTTTCTTTATGAGTTTGAAAGTCACGGCAGGCGAAAGGCGGGGGGGAGGTCGAGCACGGCCGACCGTGGCGCATAATAATCGGTTGTGGTCGCTGTTTGGGCTGACTGGACCTGCTCTCGCATGAAACCGGCCTACATCTCCCCAGCTATAAACACCGACATTCATTAGGGGAGAGCAGGGCATAGGTTGTGTGATTTCTTTTTTTTTAAAAGTGATCGAGATTTCTTCTGTTTTTCGCATAGTTTGTGTGTGTGTGTGTGTGTGTGTGTGTGTGTGTGTGTGTGTGTGTGTGTGTGTGTGTGTGTGTGTGTGTGTGTGTATGAGTACCTCATTAACAAGGCACCGGGCTAGCCTTGATATACATCAGTAAGCCCTCCTGTAATTGAAACTGATTTTATAACAAACTTCAACGCACTGCACCAAACGACGGAGGCCACGATCACAGATGACCCTTCCTGATATTTTCTCTCATTCTTCAGTGTTGATCTGTCTGGTTCTATGGTCATTCGGCAAACTGGAAAGTATAGTACAGAAGGGGAGGAGGAGTCGAGCCTAAAGACGTAAGGCTTTGTTGGGAACGATGGAATGCGAATGATATATGAGCGTTTTTCACCATGGGCTTGTAAAAGATGAATCAGAGTTTGTTGGGGGCGGCCGTGGTGGAGTCCCAATTAGATGTGAAGGGCAGGGAGACCTTTTAAAATGTCTTGATCCGCGATGCGGTCAACTATGCAGTGCACGGGGAAACCAAGCATTCCGCTCTGCTGTGCGTTACAGGGAACCTACGGGCTCATCAATGTCGAATTTAAGATGCTTGAGGAGCTCTTCAATGAAATTTAAGACTTTCTGACCATATTTCAAGCAGGTAAGAAAGTCCATTCGAGGGCATAGAGCTGAAAGTAGGACCCCACAAAAAAGTTGAATTATAAGGCCCATCACACACCAAGCTATGTGGCTGAAGACTACTAAACTGGACAATCGTGAAAAAGAAAAAAAAAACTTATGGCCACTCGGACCCACACATTAGGCAATTTGTGTTCGCACATATACCAACGGAAAAACTGCTGTTGTCAGGAAACAATGTTTTGAGGCTCCACATGCGCTGGAATAATAAAGAAGTAGCTTGTCCTGGCCCCTGAAGCTAAATAACAACAAAACGAAGGGGTGAGAAATAGATGGGAAGAAGTATGGATTTTTGAAAGGAAATTGGCAATGATAGCTCATGTCATTGACTGTACTTGTGCATGTGACAGAGACTCTCCACGCTTCACTGCTTTAGCCACGGATACAGATGAAATTATAAATATATAGTTATGTATTATTGCAAAACAAAACTGGATATACTTTATTGGAATGGCTCGGCGGCAGCCAGCTGGACCTTCCTTCATACCTGGAAATGTATTTTTGGGGAGTGAAATCTTTGATTTTTGATTGGCCGTCGCAACTAGGTTGCAATTCCGTTCTAATTTTAAATCACAACAAAACCGGTGACTGACATTTGGACACTCTCGAAAACGAGTAGCTGAATCCTGCACATTTCGCGATACTTCAGTTGGGTTGGCATGTTGAAATTAAGAACAACTTCATTTGGGAAAATCAAATGTACGACTTGAAGGATATGCAGGCAGCCTGTATTCGTACAGCGAGCTTCGTCGTCGTGCTGAAATACGGCATGCGCGAGGGGACGGTTCCTTGTCAGAGTGTAGCAACAGGCTGGCAAAGTCTGAACAAAATGGAAATGTCCAACGATGAAAAGTTATGCCAGAAGAAGACTTTGTAGGTGGTCATGCGAGTGTGAACTGCGCATCCAAATTAGGAAATCAAGCACACCAGCGGACTAGAAATGGGTCAGGGTTGTTGGGGGGCTTCCATACTTGCTGGGTATTTATAAACAGACCCCAGCGGGACAAGGAGACCTAGAAACTCGATGTGTCGCCTTCGCGTCGCGGATGCTGGAGTCTCTTCAGTTCATAAATCACTCGGTTTCATGAGGGTTCCACAAAGGGGCATGAAGCCCCCACCGTAAAGGGTAAAATCACTACCTTGAAAAGTTCAACCCTGCATTCCTGGGAAAGACAGCGCCCTGATAGCACGTGGGCTGCACATAGTTAATGCTCAGACAAATTTCGACGGACCGAAAAAGTGTTCGCGTGCGCTTCGCAGCCATCTGAGCCGATAACAGCGAACAGTCTCTGCGTTTGCTGCGAGACGTCTTGTCCAAGTGTAAATGGACGCATATCTTTCTAGCAGGTGACGCATAGCGAGAAACAGCAAGAGGGGTGAAAAAAAAAAAAAAAACAACTTGCGCGCATAATAGATGCATGATTTAAATCGCAAGTGCATACGCAGGAATGTATATGGAGTTGAATGCATGTCTGTGTTGTGCGCATGGCAACAAATGCCCTGCAGCGCTCTGCTTCAGTGCACATGGTGCTGTGGCTTTCTTTACGCTGGAATCCATCACTTTGCTCAAGTCAAGAGCCGAAACTCCCAAGGAATAATATAAACAACTTCACTTTTCTAGGGTGCGCATGATTAATTCAGTCAAGATAATGGAGAATTCCACGTTTATTTATGTCACATTCTTGTTTTTTCCTCACTGGACTGTTTACGCCACAAGTTCTGACTGTGGTACAGACTGATGGCAGTGACGGTAACCATGAACTGTCAAAAATGGACGCATAGTGTTTTTGGTTTGGATACATGTTGGCACAAAAAAAAAAAAACCAAACAAACTGCTATTGCTGTGAATGTCCTATTCACATTGTACTAAGCAGCCAGCAGAGTTTTGTAACTCATTTTGTACTAAATCCTATGATGACCGGGAATAACTATCACAAGAGCCCAAGAAGAAGAATAACACCAAAAAACAGTTAAACGTTTAGACACTCTTTGAACTGGCTATGGATAATGCGTTGAAAGTAAAGAAAGTGCATCTCCAAAGCCATCATAATTAAACGCTGTCTTTTGGAGAAGGGGGAGCAGACAGTAGAAAGTTGAAGTTATTATTAGGACTCTATTATTAGACCAATTGCCTCCAGTAGCTTAAAAGAAGATCACATTAATTTCTTAGTTTGGCGCTACTTACATTTCGGCCATGTTGTCCGGCAGGTTGGCTGGGATGTCAGTCAAACCTTTCCCTCTGCAGTCCACAATGTTGTTGCTGCAGGTACACATGGCGGGACAGGAACCTCCACCTGTGTTGCAAGGTTGTGGACTGGAGGAATCTTGGTAACCTGGAACCAAAAGAATTGGTTAATGGAGTATAAAGGATGCAGCTGGAGAAAAGAAAAGCCGACACGAGAGAAGCCATTTGGTTTTATGAAGTAGGTTGGAGTACCGGGACGCCTGCAAACTGAAACGCAGAGGAAGACTGACGATCCTTTCCAGGCATGTTTTGACATTGTGAACAAGAAATGAAGTTGACGTTCTACGAAAGTTGTACATCCTCGAGAATCAATGAACAAGAAACTGGGTTATCCGTCAAAGGGAAGGCGCCCGCGTGGTGAGAGCGAGAAGAAAGACATGAATAATACAATTGCGCTGATGACTGAAGGCCTTCAATAACACGCATTGATCTCTCCACAAATGTTCCTCCTGAGTCGGCGCTCCCTGGTGGATGGAGTAGGTGCGCATTCAGCAACAGACCCCCCCGCCCAACCCCACCTCCCCTCTGTTTTATTTAACACTTCAACTTTTCAATTTGCATAGAGAGCACATCAAGCCATCACGCTGTCTCTAGGTACCTGTTCAAATAGCTGCCAGTGAAGCGTTGAAGAGCGGGCGCCTCTGCCGCAGCTGTGTGTGTGTGTGTGTGTGTGTGTGTGTGTGTGTGTGGTGTGTGTGTGTGTGTGTGTGTGTGTGTGTGTGTGTGTGTGTGTGTGTGTGTGTGTGTGTGTGTGAGTACAAGATGTGTGGATGTAAGTCTAACCCAGATAAAATGAATAAAACAGACTTTTAAATGGGCTCATTTACACAGCATTACTAATCTGGGTTTGAAACGATTAATATTTCATCAGCTCTCCATCTTTCGCTCAGCTAGTGGGGGACATGTTAGTCACAGAAAAAGTGAAGGCTGGTGGAAGTTATTGACACAGAGCTATCACTCTACTGAAGATAGATGGATAACATTGAAAGAATGTTAATGTGGATTTTTTTTTTTTTTTTAATGGTGTGAGACGACATGGCAACTGGTTGAGACACAGCGCCTATTAGGTCAGATGCAATACTGACAAATATTGCACTGATCACTTTTTTTAAATTAGCTTTTTTGTAAGTGCCTTTAACATGCTAGTATGAGTGAATGTTTTTTATCATCTTTCATGAAACACTGACAGATTTGACAGCTGCTTGGACTTTGGCCACGATTTCATCTAACTTTTGTTGGCCGTCATTCGGTGGGAACCATATAATTTGAAAATACTCTCCAGCAAAATGACAAAAAAAAAAAAAATGGAGTTAGCCCGTTCTAGTTTTCTGTACCACAATTGATTGAAAATGGTATAAAGAAAAATTGCAGTGGATCTCATTTTTTTTTTTGCCTGTGGCATTTCTAAAATGGGTACATAGTTCTGATGCATCCCGTTAAATCGTGTACCTAATATTTTGGCCAGTGTCAGAACGGGAAGTGAGGTAAACAGAACAGCAAACCCTGTGTGGACACGGATGCAATACACAGTCTGATCCGAGGCCGTGTGATCTCGGCATGTCAGAGGTTTGACAGATCTGGGATCAGGTATAGTGCACAGCGGAGCTCCCATCGGATGGAACGCGCCACGTTTGACAGGCCGGGGATCAGGGAGAGTGCATAGCGCAGCTGGAGCAGCGTGAACAATGACAGCTCGCTGACAGGTAGATTCGAAGCGACGCTTTTTGATGTAATCGTGCGCTCGCACGAGGTCTGTTTTCCCCATTCTATCCTTTTCACGGCCACCGTATTCCAATTCCATCTCCCTGGTGTTATATGCGCGCACACAAACTGCTAAGAGCTGCCATTTGCATCGTGGCATGTCTTCACGTTTGAACTCTCATCTCCTCATCCAAAATACAATATTATCGCTGGCTACACACCATATGTCTTCTACGAAATTCACTTGGAGTTCTCATATTTATTGATCAATTGATGTGTTTTATTACACTCCCCATGCACTCTATACTGGGCAATATAACCTCAATTTGATGATGATGTCTTCTGGAAAAGCCATTATCTTTCTGTCAAATAGCCCAGAATTATTCCACATCATTTTCAACTTTGTTTTCACGGATTGTAAAACTGTGATAAATTTACAATGTATTGAGAAAATTGAAGTTGTGCAATTAACGTTTTACAGCTTTTTATCTTGTTTTTTTAAAAAAAAAAAATTTAAAAGAATGTCAGGTGGCACCGAAACAGCTTTTGTATTGATTGATTGTTTGCTTTGATGGCAAAAACCTTTCTTGAAACTGAAAATGAGACACAGATTTAAATGTATAAAAGACTTCAAAGGACAACTGGAATGATGAGTGTGAAGTAGTAAAATTGTCACTCATTATGCACTGAAAATTCACAATACTGGAACGCTTTTCCAGTTGAAAGGGAATGACGACATGTCAGAATGGCGCAGCCAAACCAAAAACACGTTCTCCCCGATTCTTCCGTCTTTTACTTCGCTTCTCCATCCTCCTTTCTGTTCAACTCAGCGCCACCCTGCCCCAAATCCCCCGCAGGTGGCCTGGCCTGGTCTCAGCACATACACATGACACACACATATTGCAGCACATGAAAATACAAAAAATATGTAGCGTGGCCATGGATGTGTGTGCGTGTGCGTGAATGCCAGCAAGCAAGTCACCTCACGAGTTCTTCAAAGGGAGTTCAACCTGTGGTCAATTGTTCATGCATGTGCGTTTGTATAATTGCATGACTTTACAGTACAGGCTACATTGAAGTACGCTGGTCCTGTTTTTTATGTCTTTTTTTCACGGTGGGAATCACGATGGTTAGTTATTGAAACTCTCGGGCAACTAATCATGTTGGGAATGGGGACTGCAGCTTCCCATGAAGCGCAGCCTAAACTTTCTCTCCCCTTATCTTGCACTCGGACAGTCCCTACTCGCTTTTCGTATCACCGAGGGTTCCACTCCCACGGTTTGAGTCACTTTCCCTGGGCGAGGAATAGTTAATGGTCCGTGCAGTCATGCTGTATGCCTGCATAAAAATCACAACCCATGGAGAGTGACTGAGAGAGATATTGGGGAGCGGGGGTGGCGGTGTATACACACGCACACACACACACACACACACACACACACACATCAACCAACCATCGCAGCTGGTGTTGTAGCGAGATGGCCTTGTGGGGGAGCGGCGGTTCTCATTCGGCTTTTTGCTTTGTCCCGATATGATAACCTCATGCACGTGTTCCTGTTACTCTGTTAGAAAAAGCAACGACAAAATGATCTTGACACAAAGCAAAAACACCGAATGAATGAGTATCTGAATTTCGCAATGATTGTGAAATTCGGAATTCTACTAAAATGTCATATTTCTTGAGAAACTCTTCTGGTCACGCCTATCCGTGTATTGTTGTGGTCTTTCTGTAGCATCCTAAGAGCCCGCTAAAACAAGTCTTTTAATTTTGAAGGTGCCAGGTTAGCTGAGGAGTAGCTAGCGTACGCCATTAGTTGCTAGCAGCCCCTGTGACATGATGGAAGATTTCAGTTTAGGTCCGACCGACATTTGAGGATCCTTGTTCAGTTCTGAAAGCAGGTCAAATTCTTAATACAATGCACACTAAGTATTATTGGTCGTATGGTAAACATCTGATTAGCTGGTAAAGGCTAGACGCAACATAAGGGAGGGTGACCAAACGTCCTCTATTGCCGGGACATGTCCACTTTTTTTAAACCCTTGTCCGGGCGTCCGGGAGGGTTTTATAAATTCATGAAATTCTTTAATTGGTTCTCATGGGGCCAATTAGAATGTGTTTCATTTTACTGACTTTTTTGTTTTTTTAATGAGAGGGGGGAGTCCAAATATCCAAATACGACCACCCAAACATAAGGTGTTAGAGTGTATTTCAGGTCAGTCGGAGCTGACGTGTTGACAGTCGCCACAGGCATGAGTGAGCCGAATTGAGTGTAATTTGAGAGGTTGAAGTAGGGTGAAATGCTAATGCTAACCGATAGCTGGCGTTCCCGTGAACGTCTTGTTGCTATATGAACTGACACTTGTTTTGAAAAGCGGTGTTGTGTGTATTGTCTTTTTAACCTCGAATCACGATGCAATAGATTCAAAATTTAAAAGAACACTTCTTGAGGCACATTTGTGATTATTATTTTTTAGAGCATGTTTTAATTTTGAGGCGGCCCGGTAGTCCAGTGGTTAGCACGTCGACTTCACAGTGCAGAGGTGCCGGGTTCGAATCCAGCTCCGGCCTCCCTGTGTGGAGTTTGCATGTTCCCCCCGTGCCTGCGTGGGTTTTGTCCGGACACTCCGGTTTGCTTCCACATTCCAAAAACATGCATGGCAGGCTGACTGAACACTCCAAATTGTCCCTAGGTGTGAGTGTGAGCGTGGATGTTTGTTCGTCTGTGTGTGCCCTGCGATTGGCTGGCAACCGGTTCAAGGTGTCCCCCGCCGACTGCCCGAAGATGGCTGGGATAGGCTCCAGCACTCCCCGTAACCCTTGTCAGGATTAAGTGGTTCAGAAAATGGATGGATGGATGTTTTAATTTTCCACTTTTTCCATTAAAGTTAAGCTTGTTTAAATGTTATTTGCATTACTATTTCTGAATTCTACACATTATGGCAATTAACAATCTAGGAAAGGGTCTACAATTAATAAAGGATTTATGGTGGTGTCGTTTTGACTCAGGGCCAAGTCAATGGGAAAGAAATCCCCCAAAAGTGTTCCCCTGTAACAACTTCTACAGTCAGTGGTCACAGTAGCTCCCAGGAGAACACAAAAGCTTCTTGCAGTTCTATCATTTAGCCATTTTCAGAAGTTGGTGTTTACACGTAAAACAATGCAAAAATGTTTGTGGCATTTGTCACACGTGGAGATCTTACCCGAGCAGCTGAATTCGTGTTTCTGAACCTCAGCCACATTGAGACCTTTGAGCTCTGGCGGTGCCGTGCACTGAGTGAACAGTCCGATGGTAGGCCGCTGTCGAAGCCACTGGGCCAACCAGGCCAGATGACAGTCACAGTTGAGATTGTTGGAGTGGAGACGGCTGTAAAGCAAACCAAAAAAGGAAGAAACTGAGCTATTTGAAGATCTTCCCCGCCTCAATTGCCAGTCAATTTGACAGCGAGTGCAGACGCAAATAGCACAAACGTGTCTGCTCTAACCTCGAGTTCATTACAAGCAACTGCCGCGGCCAAACTCACTAAATAATACGCTACACAAATGATTATGAATGCGGCATTCTGGACGAGGGAGAAGAGCCGTCCAAACCCGACACTCCAAACATGGCATTCCTGGTATGCTGCGTTTGTCGAGAATAGCTATCGCTGGCGTTTGGAGCATGTGTCCATGTGCGCAGATGCTGACAATACACGCAAATAGTAAAAGCTATAAAATGGGACCCCCACTGGGAGCAAAGAAGCCCTGAGGGCTACCACAAGGTATTGGAGACAAGGCTTCAGCGTTTCAGCTGCCATGATTGTTTTCATTTGTACATAATTCTACATGTAGTCATCATATCATTGCACAATACACAAAAGGGCTCCAGGGGTTATTCGCGTCCATAAGGGCCAGTTGTTGTTGTGTTTAGATGCGGGGGGGATAATGGCTTTTGGCTTTGCTACAGACCCCGTTGTGGTTGTTTGTGGTTCTGGCGGGGCCCCCAACACTGTCTGGAACAAAAGACCCTATATAATTCAGCACTTTTTCGACGGAGGCAATTTGCAGTGTTATTTCAAACAGCGAATACAGTAGGTGTCACTCACAAGGTTCGCAGTTTGGGCATGTGGTTGAAGCTGGAAACGGGGATGCTGCTGATGTTGTTGTTGTTCAGGGTTCTGCGAGAACAAAAGAGCAAGAACATGGTCAGCGCTCAACATATTCTTCACAAAGAACGTTTTGCTGCTATTCTGTCCCGTGGCGGCTCCCCGCTGTGAATATAACACCTCATTCCCCACAGATGGGGGAAAGCCTATACACCTCCCATGCACACACACACGGGCACGCATGCAAATACACACGCGTCAGACTCCCAATCAACCCGACCTGGAGGCCAATTCACATGAGCATCAGCTGCAGCCAGGGAATCAGGTCATTTCAATCAGCCTAATAACCCTTTACCATATTTCAACCAGAACCCCTCCACCCACCCCTATCTTTTAACACAACCTGCCCCCCACCCCCTAAAAACGTATACAAACAACCCCCAATTCCCCTTTACACCATTATGACAACCTATCACTACATCTGCAATCCATCCACACCATGAAAGCAGCCTTTAATGGCTTTTTGTTGGTCTCCCCACCCCCCTAAAAAAAGAGAGAGAAAAAAAAGCAGTCTTTTACTATAAAAATAACAAGGCTGCTGAAGCCCCCGTGGCCCACTCTGCACCGGTGACTTCTTTGTTGAAGGGCGAGCGCTCAAACAAAAGGCTTGCAAATATGTATGTTGCTGATTAGTTCTTTTTCTCCAATAAAAAATGGCAACAAAACAGCAATCGGTCCTGGAGGGAATGCTTGGTGGTGGGAGCCTTCTTGTCAAAATGACAAGCTGACCCCGGGATAGAAGCGGGTGCAGCGAGGAGGAGGCGAGAGGGGGTTGGGGGGGGTGTTTATGTGATCGAGGGGAATTTTGCTGTCAACTGTGTAGAACAATGAGTTAATGGTGGTTGGGCCCTCGTGATGCAGGCCCCCTCAAGAGGCACGCACGGGGGAGGCTTTGAGGAGAGGTTCACTATAATTACGTGTATACATTAGTTATGGTTATCCGTGGTAGTGAAACAATGTCTTCATTTTACAGAGACCTTAAATGGAATGTGATTGCGCTGGAAGGAGATACTCACAGCACTTCCAAGCCTCGCAAAGCTCTGAAGGCGCCGTCTTCGATGCAGCCGATGTGGTTTTTATCCAGCTGACTGCGAGACAAAAAGGGGGGCTTGTTAGGAAATGCACAAACCCCCCCGTGCTGCTCATCATTATCCAAACAGTAAACAGCACACTGATGGACGAAGGTAAATCAATACTGTTCATCTAAGCTCATGTATCCCCCACATTGGAGAGAGGAGAAGGAGGAAGGAGGACTTACAGTTGGTTTATCATTTTCAGTATTAGCCGATATTGTGCATGTACCGCCAAAAATAACTAAATCGCTACCTCCATGAGGCATCTTTGTGCATTCAATATCGTTATTAGTATGCTCGATCACAATGATACACAAGTCACTTCACACTCTGGGAGTACACAACGAACAACTCTTACCATCTCGCGATAACGAGGCATCTCTTTTACCTCGAACTGATTTTTGACACGCCTTTACTATCAGATGTGATTCTTGAAAAGGGATTTAAAACAGTGACTGCGAGTGTGAATGGTTGATTGACTATACATGTGACGTGATTGGCTGGTGATCAAGCCAGGGGTTACCTTGCCTCTCCCACAATGTCAGCTGGGAGAGAGGCTTCGGTTCAACCAGAACGTCGTTGTAGAAAATGGATAGTGTCCGGAGACGTCGATTTACTTATTTACTTAAATGATACCAAATATGTTGATTGATTGCATAGGCTGTTATTGGAAATAATAATCCATTTTTACATCAATATCGATACATTGATTTCACGAGTGAAGCACACTCACAGGTTTTTGATGTCTGTGGCTCCTCTGAAAGCTTTTCTTGGGATGGACTGGATGAGGTTTTCGCTCAGATCTCTGCAGAGACAAGAAGGCATGAGATGGATATTAGCCATAAATGTAGTGTCCAACAAAATATGAATGTTAAATCAGCAGAAGAATGCTTTCTCTGATTAATACGCTAAAAACATTTGGATTGGTTCTTATGTAATATTGTCATTTCTTGAGATGGTAAATTTTAGGCTTTCGCTAACTGTCCGAGATGATTAAAATGACAAATAAAATCCAAAGTATTTCATTCCTGCCTCGTCGCTAGCGAATCCAAATGAGTTTCACGTGTTGAATTGAACTTGTGAAAAGTCTGTCAAGTCTGTATGGCGAATTATTTTACAGTGTCGACATTATTCAGCGTCATCTCATCTCTGCTTCGGGTTAATCGCCGTGCTTTGCCCATTCACGGGCGTTAGGTTCCCCGCATTGAGCCTGCACACAAAGACCAAACAAATTGCATGACATTGGCCAGTGAAAAGGTTGTCACTGGGCCTGATTCATTAGGGAAACTGCTGCCGAAAGGAACATAAGCGTCGAGCATTAGGATGCACGTGTTGGAGTATGTTGGCTAGCAATGAGGCATGCGTGTGGAAAATGAGAGTGCGGCGGGAGGAAAGCAAAAGTAGCCACGGTTTTAATTAGCGCAGTCCTTTTGTCTGCAGTTGAAATGGTTTGCGAACGTTTTTCGGAAAGGCTCCGCCTCCTCTTCGGTGCACATTGCACCGCAAAACTATGAGGCCCGGCTTGACAAACAGACTGATGTACACGCGTGGGGCTCCCGCAAGGCGGACAGAAGTAAACAGTCTTCTTAAGGGCGTCCACGAAAGATGCTTGAGCGTGACCGCGAATTCCACAATCTATAAATCTCGATGACACAAGTGCTCCACGTGAGGCTCTGATGACTCCTGCTTGTTTAATGCGCACGTACGCTGCGGCGAGCGATGGCATGATGCAAAGTACGAAATGATTTCATGAGACAAGGGGCTCCTGGGGATGCACGAAAGTCCCCAAAATGATCACGAGGTCATCATTCTTTGCAGAATTACATTCTCCTGAGCGTAATTTGGTTTACACAAAGAGAAAATTGAGGTTACATTGTGTCATGCAGCTTTATGAGGTGAGAAGGCATTTAAACCCCCCGCCAAAAAACAGGGTTTGGCTTGATTTTGTGCCTTATCCATCATCGTCAATAGCTCTGCGTACGAGTCGTTTCCTCCAAGGGCAATTCTGTTAGCAGGGTGGTCACCGTTGTTTATTGGACCTTTTCCGAAATATTCACAAGGCTCCATGTTTCCTTGCAAGGAGCACTGGGAACCAGACCTGGAACTGTTGACTTGGACATTGAGCAAAAGACAACATCGCCGTCTGGTTTCTTTCTACACGCAATTCGTAATAGCTCCACAAGAGAGGAAAGCTTTTGGTCGACCTCACCTTGCATTGTATCTGTTGACTAATTCATCTTTTCAATTAGGTGACAATAAGGGATGATTTTAAATTGAGGTGCCAATGCCAGAGGATACATGATTGTTTGATGGGAAATAGGAAGAAGAAGCAAAAAGACAGACAGGGGTGATGTGACTAAAACGTTACATGCTTATGTTGTAAAATTCAATCCATGCTGTAAAACATCCCTAATCCCATTAGCATGCTATAATACGATTGGCTCGAGACAACTACTCCACCACTTTTAGTGCCGTTTGATTGGATTAGCAGTTTTGGAAAGTAGCTTTATAAACGAGAGTCCGTTTCGCGCGCCAAGAGAACAATTGTCCTCTTTCTCGCTTCTGCTTAGAAAGCCTTTATGGCCGTTGTCCCTCCGTCTTCATTTGGGGAATAATCACAGCGGTCATGATTTGGAGTCAGCAGTCTTCTGCGCATTGACAGTTCCAACTAAATTTGGCTCGGCGGGGCTTCTGCATTTACACATTCTTAAAATGGCAAACAGAACATTTCTGTGGGGGTGCATGCTGTATTTTACATAGTCTGTGGTTGCCACACTCTGACTCGTTTTTTTTTTTTTTTTTCCAAGGCTAAGCTGACTCACTTTGGAAGCGAGCGATTTGACGTTGCTGATTAGTTTGGAAGTGGATTTTCAAGGAAACATGAACTACCTAAAATAAGGCACAATTACAGCGCTCGCCACAAAGATGGATATGGGGCACTATGGTCAGCGGGTTAATCTAAAGTTGCAATGCTTCGAAATGTATACAGTACTCCCGCACTCAAAACAGACATTTTACAGTTAACAGGCAATCTGGCATTGTTAGTGAAGACCAAAACATGTCCCCTCCACTTAGGGGCCTCTGCACATGAGTGGCGCACAATATATATATATA